CCAAATCAAAGGGCACAACCGTGTTAGCTATCTGTGTCAATACAGACACTAGCAATTAATTGATTAATGAACAGAACACGATCCACACTTCTACAATCCTGTAAACTATTAACCGTCTATGTCTGAACTTAATATTTTTCAAAATATTTTTTTGAAATTTTCAATTTATTTTAGAAATGTTCCCTGAGGAACAGAAATATTTTTATTTTTTTTACATACAATGCATAGTTTTAGAGATAGTGACAGCGGTCGATATCGACTGCTTTGTCAACGCAGGATTTAAAAAAAATCGACCGCTCCGNGATCGTAAAAGATCAACAAAACTCGCCCACTGTTACAGTACAATAGCAATCAATTGATTAATGTCTTTAAATGACACGTTTCACACGGCTACAATCTCCTGAACTATCAACGCCACTACCACTGGGGGTGATCATGTTAGCTATAGATATGAATCGGAAGCTTGTAGCTATGTTAACTGGACAATAGCAATCAGTTGATCAATGTCTTAAGCATGACATGATCAACACAGCTACAATCCCTTGAACTATCAACGCCACTACAGCTGGGTGAAATCTTGTTAGCTATGGATATGAATTGGAAGCTTGTAGTTATGTCAATCGGACAATAACAATCATTTGATCAATGTCTCAAACAAAGACACAATCTCTATTGGTATGTTTAAAATAAAACCGAATTACTTTTCACACTGTAACCAAAGCAGAGTTTCTAGTGTATTTGAAATTTATATGTTAATGTTATAGTTGATACACGTAATTACAATTTCTATTTGTTTTCAACATCACATTATTAAGGCGATCATATTAAGTAGTATAGCACAGTTGAAATAGGTGCAGTTAAGATGTACGTCATTATATATATCACAGGATTAAGCGAATCCTGCTACATATTTATTTGAAATGAATAATGGGTTTTACATAGAAGTTTACAAACATAGATAGTTAATTATGTTTATGCACTGCAGGTTTAAAGAATATTGCGTTACCAGATATTTATTGCACTATTGTAGCGGAGGCAGGAGTTTTATGATCTTTTAACGAAAATCTCAGGATTGGAAATATTCAAATCCTGGTTGTATATATTTATAAATAGAACAACATGGCGGGAAACCCAAACTTAGGGTGGCTGACCCGTAGCTAGGATGAGGCCCCAAACAAAGATCTCAGGTTCATTCACCTAGGGAAGCTACCGAAACTAGGAATTTCTGAATCGAAGGGAGCAGGTCAACTGATACCTGATCAAGCTTCAGTTGGCAATCAACCTTCTCATCTAGAGGTCACGGGACTGTGTTAAGATCTGTGACTCTGCTCTCTGTACTTCAATATTATTTGTATCCATTAGTATCAATCAGTTTGTATTTTTACACTTACTAAAGTATTTGTACCGTACATCGTTTAATATCGGGTGAATGAGTTATTTGCAGTTTAGTCTATTATCGGGGTGAAAATATATCTCCCTATTGCAATTCATTCAAAAACAACACTATCACTACCAACTAGTGCTGAACATGTTCCTACTTTTTGAAATCAGTCTCTTCCTTCTTCTCTGTTATGTTTCATTCTGTTATGTTTCGTTCTGTTTGTTCCTGTGATAGAACGATCGTTCCCAAGGAACGACACCCAGCCCTACTGCCAACTGGACAGTAACGCTACAACTTTGTGTAAAAGTATACAATTTTCAAATTTATGCAGTTCCTTACCAAAGTAAAACCAATTTTTTCTCTCTCGATGGCTCTTCCATTAGAGAATCTAGGATTGAAAACATGCAATAGTTCAATTTACTTTGTTTGAAGTAACTGTGTATATATGTTTCTATTATTAGGGAAGACGGTATGGAGAGGTCCGAGGAAAGGAGGGTGCGGGGTGGTAAACAGGGGGAATGGAGATTGAGGGTTAGCAAAGAAAAAGGGAGCGCAGAAAGAGAGAGAAGGTCCCTTTTAGTCCTTTAATTTCGATTTTTAAAAATAGTTTCAAATTTTTCCATCAAAATGTAGATTTTTAATTAATAGTCTAAATTATGTTAACACACTATCCATCTTCCGCCCATCTAGCTCTGGTCATGATTTTGACATAAAATTTACCTGTAAAAAAACAGGGGTGGGGAAATTCGGTGCGAAGCGCTATATTTCAATTATTTACCCACCCCTTTGTAAAATATCATAAGCCGCCCCTGATCTCCCCATCTTCTCCTCCAATCCTAATATTTCCAGGGGGCGTTTTTCCAGGGAAGGGGACGCCCCCCCCCCTATTAAAGGGGAGGTAGTCCGAGGGGAGGAGATTGAAGACCACCAAAATTGTTCTCAACATTTCATTCTTCTTAGCTAAGAAATATTTACATATCAGAAAAACTGCAGAATTCTTTCACACTAAATTTTTTTTTTGAATAGTTTGGTTTGCAAAAAAATTGTAACCCGAACGGTACCACGAAGTGCATGGTAAGTCGGAACCACTGCATGATTACCATACAGTGATATCGAAGAGGAATTGAATAAATTCAAGGGTTTGCATAATTCGGAAATCCATACTTAATCCCAAGATTAAGTACTCCAGGATGTACTTAGCCATATTTTAGGCTTGCGTAGAGATGGACGCGTTTTGCTTATTAAGTACTCCAGGATGTACTTAGTTCTGCATAGAGATGGACGCTTTCTGTCTGTTTTTATTTCCTGCGTTCGTCACTCACGAACATCCTATTTCGTTCGTTTTTTCCTATCATTAAAGAAAGTTTATTTCGTTTGTTCCAAAAATCGTTCGTCTTGTAAAAAAATTATAGATTTTTTACAAGCTTTTAGAAAATTAGTTCGTTCAGTGAAAACATGTTTGACTTCATTAAAAAAATATCGATTTTAAATTTCTGATCCATCGTTAATTTTCTGTTTGAACGACAACTTCAGTCACAAAATGTAATTCGTTTTTAAAAATTTCGTTCGCTAACAATAAACGATGATCATCTCTAGCTGACTTATGCAGGAATTTGCTGCTTTGAGAAACTGTATAACAGAAATCTAGGAGTGGCGGATGATCACAATCTTTCAAAAATCAAAACAAAACGTTTTCATGCCAAAAACTGTTAAGCTTAAAAACAAGAAAATTAAAGCATTGATTCAGGCAATTATGAAAGTTATGCATTAAATTTTAATACTGGAATCAACTTTAAAATGTTGCTAAACTTTCACCTTTGTTTTATCATACTAACTCAAGTTTACTTTAGTGTAGTTTTGTGGCCTTAACGTCTTGTTTCCATAACTTCAGCTAAAAAGTAGTAATTGATAAACTCATGGTTTGATATTTTCCGTAAAAGTGTATATTTGGGGTTTTACATTCGGATTTCGGACATATTAAAATCCACGCATTTGATGATCACTGATCAGGTTAAACCGATAACAGACTGGCCTAACCCACATTGATCCAGAGTGCCATGAAAAGTTGCATCGATTTTTAAAATTGGATCAACTTTAAATTGTCGCAACTACTTGCAATTTAATTTGACCTCATAAAATCCCTTTTAGTTTGCTGTGGCCCTGGACTTTTCATTTTTCATTTTCAACTTTAGTTTATAAAAAGTAATTTGCAAATTCTCATCGAATTTTGCGTCAGAGTTTGCAACTTTTTTATCACTGTGAGCCTCGCCAGGAGTATAGAGTCGGTCCCGTCTTAACAGATGATGCATGATATAAAATATGTGCAATATGAAAATGCAACAACCAAAAAAAGCTTAAAAGCATATTAAATTTAAAGAACATTAATACAGGACTTAATGCGTATTTACCTCTCTTTTATACTTTTATTAAACAAGATATTTAGCTTGGAAGCCCAGTGTTAACCAGGATACTTATAATTACTCACGCTGTTTTCCCCCACTTGGTCGTAAATTACGATTTTAGCTATTTTTCCCAATAAAAATCGACACATTCAACTTAGAATTTCAAAACCAAGCATGCCCGTCCCTCTTCCGAGTTCTTCAATGAAAATTTGAGGCAAATCAGTCCAGGGGATCCTGAGTTATGATCGGACAAACAATCAAAAGAAGTAGACAGACATCCAAAGAGGCACACAACTTTATTTATATTGTTACACATACCTAGAATAAATAAAATTTTATTTTGTTAAAATCGTAAAATAAATACAAAAATACAACGAGCTGAATCATCAAATTCAGCTGAGTACAATCCTGTTCTTTCTCTTGATCAGAACTTGAATCCCCCCCCCTTCTACTCAACCCTAACACACTTTTATCTGACCTAAATGTGTCTAAAAAAATTCAGTCGAAGTAAAAAAAATAGAATTTACTCTCTGTATAATAATCTTTCATTAAATTTTCTCACTTAAAAAAAATACTGAATTAAATGTATAAATTCTATAAAATATTTCTCTTTATGTGTAAGTAATATTAAACAAAAATATTACTAAAAATGTTGAATTTTGAAAATTTTCTTTCCTTTTAACATCAAAGTATTTTGTACAGGCTGCTACTAAATGTTTCAAAGCTATGCGACCCTTACAAACTATTTAGAGTCTAACAAAAAGATTTGATTGCAATGACTGGAAACTGGGCAGAATCCCCAACCCCCGCCCACACGCATTTATGGGCACTGTCCCCCCACACCTCCTAGAATCCACAGTTTAATCAGTTTACCTCGGCTAGTTATACACTTTATATTTAATTTCCCAATAGCAAAAATAATCATAATTTTAGTAATTATACATGGTGGTTTTTATTATATTTAAATAGCAGGGTTATATACAGATTGATCATAATGTTTTAATATTATTATCTTCATTATTTTTTATTATAGATATTACCTTTATCCTATTTAGCCTTACTTTTATCATTCTTATTATTATTTTGATCAAAGTTGTATCGCTTAACTTAAATAGTTGTGTATCTTGTGTAATATTTGGATGCTTATTTTTGTTTTTAAGAGACGTATTTCTGTAAATCGTGAGTCGTGACAGCTTTTTTATTAAGAAAATTTAAAAAATTTAAAGAATTTGTCAATTTAGAATATAAAATGGCCTCCAGACACAATATTAATCCACGTAAGCCCTGGACTAAACCAAGAATTAAGGAATATAAATTATTCACGTTTCAGGACAAATTCATTTTTAAGCATTTCAAATTTTCTTTGATGGCAAAACACTGAGAAACAAAAATAATTAAGTACTATTAGAACTGTGTCCGAATTTAATGAAGTTAAGTCGCGTCTAAAATCCCAGAAAAACTGGTTTTAATTGAACGTCGGCTTAAATCTTTGAAAAATTTAATACAAATTTAAGTGCTACCAACAAAATTTGAGCCTCGGCTTAAATTTAAGCCGCGGCTCAAATTCTTAAAATTTGGCCTCTGAAAACTTTAGCATTGCGGAATATCAAGATCAAAGCTTGATCTTATTTTTTGTTAAGATAAATTTAAGGTTTAAGGTTTTATCCGGGAAGATGTCTTAAAATTCAATCAATCAGAGAGGCCAATATAGAAAAAATTAGAGAACAATATCAAAAGTGGTCATAGTGAATATTTAGATTAAGCGATCTGTATTAGTTGGGCTTCTACAGTTTTCAGTCTATTTCAATTTTTCACTAAATAACTAGTCTGCATAATTTTACATCAAAACTTAAGATGAAAGAAAGAAAAAGAAACTGATTACTTATCATATTCTAATCTAAAACCTTATTTTAAGAAGTACTTTATTGATAATGTGGCATATCCAATTCACAACAGTACCTTGAAAAGCTTTGTCTGATATTCATGTTTTTTGTTTTTGAAAGCTGATTGTTTCCATTTGTGGATATTCTTCAAAAGTGACTTGCGAATTGCTTGCTTCATAAAAAACGTAGAAATTATCACAACTAAACAGTTTTCAAGCCAGAAACTCTACTGGTAAGGGTAAAGTTTTAAATCCGGAGTCAGTCCCTTTAATATTGTGTATATTTGATATCTAACACAGGTTTACGATATAAACAGATTGTGCGGAGAATATTATTACCAGGCAAGAGAAACAATAACGTTAATTTTTACTTTTTATCTTTATAAGAAATATTATTGGAATTTTTTTTTTAAATCTTACATTTTGTAATACATTGTTTCTTTTTTAATTTGAAAACTTTTTTATGCCGTGGTTTCCAAAACTATTGGAATAATTGTCATCTTCTTTCTTTCTTTTTACTACGCTGTACAGGGTTACCCACAAGGGATGAGATTTCAGAGACGATTGTACGTTTTCTTGCATGCATAGTTCCTTATGGGCAAAAACTTGTGTATATTTGTTTTTAATCATTTATTAAACCATCAAAATACTTAATTGAATGCAGAAAGAAAAATCAAGCGTCAAATCGTCATATTTTTAAAATTTTGGGTCGTCTTTACAGACTAATCCGTAGTAAGTAACCCTGTATGGAAAGGTTATTTGTAAACTTTGTATGTATCAATGTTGAGAATAAAATTCAAGGTCAATAAAATTATGTTCACAACAAACCTCATTATTTTATTTAATAATAATCATTTAATTCTGTAAAACAATGTTAATCGACGAAAACTTCTTCGGAAACTAATTTGTTTAAATATTGTTTATCAGCCAATGATTGAGTACATAAACAACAAGGATAATACAGGGCGTACAGAAACCATCGCAATGAAGTACATTACAGTACAAACTAGGTAAGTACAATATAGTCCAAACTAGGTGAGTACACCAAAGTAAGAACTAGGTGAGTACACCAAAGTACAAACTAGGCGAGTGAAATATAATACAAACTAGGTGAGTACATTACAGTACAACCTAGGTGAGAACATTACAGTACAAACTAGGTGATTACAATACAGAACAAACTAGGTGAGTAAATTATAGTCCAAACTTGGTGAAAACATTACACTACAAACTAGGCGTGAAAGGATTCACGACACGGGGTGACATATTTGGGTATGCACATAATATTTTTTAACCGGTTTTTATTTTAGAGAGCCTGTACGTATGCCTAGCTCTCAGGATCTGATGAACTGTAATGTAGAAGATCTAGGGTTTAAAGTGCCCAGGTATGCTAAAATCCATCAAATAAAGCCATCGGAAAGATATAAAAAACTCTGTGAAATAAAACCACCAGAAAAAGTGTATAATCAATTAAAATTCTAAGAAAAAAGTTAGAGAAAAAAGAAAAATAAATTCCCGAGGGATTTTTTCCCAATATCGTTCTGAAACCGCAATCAAAGTCACAAGAAAAATATTCATAAGGATTCAAAAAAAATTTGTGCAGAACAAAATTAGATTACTAAGAATTAAGTAATTTTCATATTATACTTTTAAAAATTCGTTATCAACTAATTTACTAACTGCTTATTAAATTATTTTAAATTACTGCAACGTTTGTTAACAAAACGTTAAACAAATATCGGTTATTTCCAATTGTTTCTTAAGGGAAGAAACTTATGTTAATCTAAAATATTCTTGCATTTTATTAGCTCTTGCTCAGACTGTAGGGAGAGGTGTAATAAATTTACGGTATTTCTTTTAACCGAATTCAACAAAGAATTACAATTTTGATAATTTTCCAGAATTGGCGATTTCCTTTCACGGTACGGAGCCAAGAAGATTAAAGAGATGAACTCACAAACAGGTGTGTGTTAAACTTTTAAATTTTCATACCGTTTATTGAAAACACATTATTTTAAATACTAGGATTACATGGAGCTTATTGCCTCGTCGCATTGCATAGTAACAATATAACTTTTGTGTTGTTTATCAAGTCGCCATTATATACTCTGCTTCTCGTGTATTTTCTGTTTAATTTTGTGCATTTTCAATAATAAAAAAATGTCTGCATATTTTTCAAACAAAAATTTCCAACTTTAAACATCCAATAAATAACCTTTACTGGAATAATAAAATTGACCAGATAGGTTCGGTCGTATTTATTGGATACAAGCTACAGTACATTAAAGAACCCATGGTTAATAATCATGGTAACCCTTACTTTAAAGCAAGCATTATTGCCCATCAAATCAATGTTTTTTGTTGTTGTTGTTTTTTTACTTTTTGTTAGGTTTTTTATATGTATTCTATATTTAAATTCTTATTTTTTTTTGTGGATTTAGACTCTCAAATTCAGGCCCTTTTAATATGACAATCTAAAACTTTAAAACCTTACTTTAAAACCTTAATTATGGTTAAACAATTTGGCAAAACAAAAAATTGTAGCCAAAATGTATCAAAACATAAATGTAAAAAAAAAATATTTTAATAAAAAATTATTGACTAAAATATATTCAGTTCATACGAAGAATGAGATGCTGAGGCAATCTAAGAACTCTGAAACTATTCCTGATAAAAGAACTTCAACACTTATCAGGTAGTCGATGTAACCAGTAAATACATCATACAGGTGTCCACTGTAAATCAAGACTTTGGATTTTAACTTAAGACACATTTCATGAGAAACAGTAGCTTCAAAGGAAGTCTATGTGCATGCAATGCACATATGAAAATATGGTTTCCAGCAAGGCCCAAATTTCAAATTTTGCAATTTTTTTGCAAAGTCAACAAAGGGCTTTTTTGCATTTTTTACTACAGTGAAACCCTTAATAACGAATACATCGGAAGAATTTATCAAATGTGGCTTGACAATTTTTCAATGAGTCTTATACTATTTTACGTAAATTTCAGTATTTGCGAAAATAAATAAATATCCATGAATATGCGGGAACAGTTTTTAAGAGTTCCATATAATCATTTTATTAAAAAACTAAATATCTGCAACATTCCATTATCAGAAATGGAAGAATACGACATTTGATGAATTCTTTCGATGTATTCGTTATTGAGGGTTTCACGGTATATAACTGGAATTCGCAAAAAAAAAAAGAATTTGTGCAAATTTGCATTTTTTTGCAGATTCTCAAAGTAGAGCTGAAGAGCTTTCCAGTGACGCATCTTTCATCATATTTGGACATCAAACATGGGATTGACCCCCCTCCCCCCAGTATATCCTGGTTTTCAAGTACCCCAGCTGGGATAGGGTTAATCCCAGAATTAATCGAGAAATTGAAATTAAACCCAGCTAAAAGCCATAATTTGATATTATAAATGGGGTAGTACATGGTGATACTGTTAAATTACAGCTGGAGGAAAGGGGGCACACTTAACATTACGCCTACTGTCTTTTTATTTTCAGAAATCAATACATAAGAGAGGTGTCTTCTATGTACCAAGGACAAAAAGGACCAATAACTGCAGAATCCAGCCTCTTTTAAAACAAGATAAGGAACATTGTTAACTTTAGGTGTAAAAATCATGGTTAATTGAACTCCTTGAATAAAGATTTGTGTTTCAAAATATGATATTTATGTGTTCATTGTATACAACGTCATACCTATTCATGTCTATGTCAACAGTAATAGATAAAAATTTCATTACATCCATTGTTCAAGGACTTTTTAAGTAAGCCAATTTTATATCTGAGTCTTAAAGATAATAAAAAGTTATGAATTATTATTATTGATTTATATTTTTTAAATTTTCACCAGGATCATTTATTAAGTTTGGAAAATGAACAGGAGTGAACGCTCTAGTGTCAGGCATTTTTAAGTTTCTAGGCTTTTAGGGCGCTTTATGCCCATCTTCTATTTCAATTGGGCTAATTTTCTCTTTGTATACATTGTATAACAAAAACAAACAAAAATTTGCAGATTTTATAAAAAAAATAGCTGGATTTTCAATATTGGTGAAAGGAATAGTTCGTGATTGAGTTGTATCTTGTTAGACAGATGCCTTAGAATACTAATATAGTCGTATCCGGTTTGATATTGACTAAAGTATATTTGAACGGAATAGTTCGTGATTGAGTTGTATCTTGTAAGACAGATGCCTTAGAATACTAATATAGTCGTATCCGGTTTGATATTGACTAAAGTATATTTGAACGGAAAAGTTCGTGATTGAGTTGTATCTTGTTAGACAGATGCCTTAGAATACTAATATAGTCGTTTCCGGTTTGATATTGACTAAAGTATATTTGAACGGAATAGTTCGTGATTGAGTTGTATCTTGTTAGACAGATGCCTTAGAATACTAATATAGTCGTATCGGGTTTGATATTGACTAAAGTATATTTGAACGGAAAAGTTCGTGATTGAGTTGTATCTTGTAAGAAAGATGCCTAAGGATACGGAAGTTATACCTGGAATGGTACTGATCTAAAAGGATGGGCATTTATTACATATACTTTGCTTGTCTGTCTGTCTGTTTGTGTCCAATAAACGTCAAAACAACTTAACTGATGGGGCCCAAATTTTGTGTTGGACCCGCATGACCCCCATGATGGTTTATGGATGATAAAATTTTCAAAAATTTGCCTCTAACAATTTCGATTTTTAAAATTTTGAAAATCCGCAAATTTTTAATAAACTCTACAAAATATTTGTTTGTTTTTGTTTTACAATATACACACAGAGAACATGTTCTTCATTGAAATAAAAGATGGGTGCGAAGCGCCCTGAGAGCCTAGTTTGATAAAAAATAAAAATTAAATAGTTAAAACGTAAACCATATATTTATAAGCTTATTTCCAAACATTCATAGAATGACTGTTTTTTTAAACTGTTTCATTTAAAGCTTACACATTCACAACTGGTAAGACAAATATAAATACAAACATAATATAGTTTCAAGAGTCTTTCGAGTTAAAGATAAAGTTTGCCAAAATTCGAACAAAGAAATTAGATCATAAGAACAACAGATATTTACACTATCCATATTATTCACAGTTAATGAAGATCAGAAAAAAGGATAATTTTGACACAACTAATATAATAACTGTAACCAAAGCATTCTTAGTTAACTATTTGAACTAAAGAAACTTGTATAAAGTTTAAAGCTTGAGAATCAAAGAGAACCAAAAGAACTGGCATAACTAAGTCTATGATGCGAATCATACTAGTCAGTAGTCGAAGTGAGCTCTTACTATGGTAACCATCATATCTTAGAATCAGGATGATTGCAGTAAGAACTACAATTATGCTGATAATAAAGGTTATGGTTGAAGATCTTAGTAAGAAGTCCTTGATAGGCTTGATTATTGTCTTCTTGAACATAGCTGAAGAATCTATAGAGCTGATTGGTACTGTATGTACTGCTGAAGTCCTTGAAGCTGATTCTATAGAGCTGATTGGTACTAGATGCACTGCTGAAGTCCTTGAAGCTGAATCTATAGAGCTGATTGGTACTGGATGTACTGCTGAAGTCCTTGAAGCTGAATCTATAGAGCTGATTGGTACTGGATGTACTACTGAAGTCCTTGAAGCTGAATCTATGAGCTGATTGGTACTGGATGTACTGCTAAAGTCCTTGAAGCTGGAACAACTGAATCCTGAAGGGATAACCTCCGCATCTTTAGTCTCTGTGTCCTCTCAGTCCGGATATCCCCAAAGTACCTTGATCTTTTTAGCTTAGATTGTTCGATTTTGTTTTGTCCTGATGCTCTCATGTTTGACAACTTTATTACACTCACGGCTGTGGGCAGGAGGTTGTCCAGATGGAGTATTTTGTTTTGCCTTTCTAAATACTCTCTCCATATAAATTACAATTTTGATGGCTTCAAGTAATGCGGACAAGAAGAGTAGGATGGGGGGTAAGAGAAACTCGATGCACCCTGTTCTTGGTGTCTGATCTATACAAGTTGTGTTTGATTCTGTTTGATTTGACACTTGAACAGCAATGCCAACAACTAATCTTGTTCGTAGCATACTGATTGATTCATACCCAGATGAATGGGTAGGCATACATCTGACATGATTTAGCAGAAAGTCAAATAGTGCGGCCGAAGCTAAGAAGGCTATTGATAGCCTTAGAACCAGTTTTCTGTTGATACTTTGGAAGTAGGCTGGACTAAGGATCAGCACAAGACGGGAGACAGATAGGGTAAGGAGGGATGCATATCTGCAAGATGCTATTGTTAGAGTATTTGTTACATATTTTGCTAGTCCTGTATATTCTGAATAGAATTTAATTAAACCCTCAGAAGTAATATTACTTACTAATCTCAGGCTAACAAAGTGGATAACAGACAGCTCTTGAGTAACTAAAAACTGTATACAGATATGTAATATTGATATTATTCACAATTTAACTTTAATGTATGGAATGTTTATTCCTCCCACTGCTCTTCTTATCTGGCTAAAATTCAAGAGGGCGAAAAAAAATAAAATTTCAATATGGATCCAAATTGTGCTTCTCTGTATTGTTTACAATTTAGATGCTAGGAAACACAAATATCCCAGACAAAACCCAATTGGGCGAATATAAAATATTTGTATTAAATATTCAAATTTGGTTTCTCTCTGTTATTATTTTGTTATATTCGCTGCTAAGCAGCAAAGATATGTACCAGACTCACTCTTTATACATTCATACATACTTTTAAACATGGCTAAATTGTCTAGACATACTTGTATGTATGTTTACTACTAATGAAATAATACATGTTTATTGTATATAACAAAAACATAAATCCAAAAACTTTTTATTTAATCTAAAATGACTAAAATTTTGAATATCATGATAGGCTGATTGATAATATTGTAACTAATCTCTAGTCCAGTACAGTGTACATGAGAGATCTGGTTTCTCTGCAATCCTTATAACTTGAACAACACCAGCATTGGTAAATACTCTTTCTTCAATTATACTCCTAGAAATTAAATATATTATTATCCAACATACAATTTACAATTTACACACAAATTCAATAAATTATACGAGTCCACATTTGATATTCAGATTAAGCAATCGAGATTAAATGTATCCAATTTTAAAGTCTTCAGAGCTGAAAACTTTAGAATGTGATATTCTTAATCTTGATCTGTTAATTAATCTGGAGATTAAATTCTTGAGGAAAACAAGCAATATTTAATCTGGAGATTAAGAAAAAGAGTGGATCAAGCATTAATCCCGATATCCACCATTCTAAAGTTCCCAGCTCAGCTCTGGTCACTGATTATTCCACAACATTATAAATGGATACTTTAGAAAAATACCATGAAATTAACTTTTAGCTAAATACTTAATAATTAATAAATTATATTGTTACAGCAGTTCAACTAAATATTCACCTGAATCTATCATCATACGGTTTATAAAGTGTCATGGCACTAATTAACCTAAGAAACAATACTTTTGAATTAATATATGATTGTATCAAAACAAACTGGCACTTTGTGAATATGTAATTTATTTTACCTATTTGATCCTTTAGTGCTGACAAAGTACTCCAATTCTAAATCACTGAATGGAGCTTGTAACTAAAACATTTATTTATGCAATCAAAAATTAAAACTGAGCTTAACCAATAACTAAGCTTTTACTAATAAAAATGAAAATTATAAAAATCAGATTATTAATTTTATAATAAATAGTAATAAGCATAATTTCGAGTGAACCTCCATACAATGCCCGTTTAACAAGGGTACCCTTGAAACCTTTATCTGAACAACAATGTTGAAGATATTGTAGTTTTTCCAGGTTTCCTGCAGAAGAATTCATGCTCTATAACCTTGTGTAGAGACCTGACTGTTTGACAATTGAAAATCATGAATATTTATATTTAATTCTGATTTATTAGACAAACCTTTATTAATAATGTAAATTGGACATTGCTGTATCTTTGCAAAGATGATCACTTGAAGTTAAACTTATTAAGATGATTATTAGTTAAACAATTCAAATCTTTCAGAAGATTCACTTAGGATCTGTAATTTGCATGCTGCATGACTGAACACAACATTATTCCTAATAAAAACCTACCATTTTATGATGTCCCATATCAAAATTCCAGTGTTTATGCCTAAAATAAAGATGTTATACTATACCTAGGAAAGTGTTTCACGATGTTTATTTTGAAAGTCAAAATGATTACCCCCCCCCCCTGGATCTGACTGATACTAAGTCAAACTATTTAGTGACTATTTAGTTGTTATATAAGAATATATAATAAACTTACAAATGACTAAACGCTCCATAGGAAAATATGTACTTCCATTTTCCAGAGGCCTAAACAGTACCATATATTAAACAGTTTTATTATAAACTAAACAGTTGTACTATTAATTAAACAATTGTACTATAAACTAAACAGTTGTATTATAAACTAAACAGAAGTTGTACTATGAACTAAACAGTTTTTTTTATAAACTAAACAGTTTTACTATAAACTAAACAATTTTACTATGAACTGTAATTATTACCAGTTTCATAAGCCTGCACTTAACAGGAAACACCCAGAGGATCACTCTCTTCCAATATCTAGACATCATTATCATTTTCATAATTTTCATGATCATCATCATTTTCATGCTCATCATTACCATCACGATGAGCCCAAAATATTTTTATTTAAGACTTTGAATTTAAGAGTTTTGGTCTTGTAAAGTGATTGGCGTTTATTTCATTTCAATGAAGACGACTTTTTTTATGATTTCGGACAAACTTTTTGTCAACTAAAAGTTTAAAGTAAAAAACGAGATCAGTTAAATGGTATCTCCTCTTTGTTTACATATAATGTGTATTCATGCTGTTTGAACGCTTGGTAGAAGGTCTTCTTTATTGAATTAATAATTTTATATATGACTGAGGCAGTATTATGAAAAGTTCAACATTAAATTAGAAGACTCCCAAAGCAACACATCATATTTAACATTTAATCAATAACTTACGGAACTTGAAGAAACTCGAACATTTGTTCAATATTTTCCCCCCTTGAGTATGTATATCTTCCAATGATAAGGTTTTCGTCTAGTGGGCCATCTATATTCTCTTCTTTCCAGTCAAACTAAACCAAATATTTTTACAATATTAGGATAATAATTCAACCAAACTAATTTAAAGTAGTTCGGTGGGAGTTGAATATATGTATATGTTCTATTAGACACTAAATGTCTAATTTTGAGCCAAAAAATGGGTTTATTGAAAATACCAATTTCGAATTTTAAAAATAACAGATTTTTAAAAATTTGAGATCCAATTTTTTTATCCTATGTTCCGCCCAAGGCACTCAAGGGTTACCTCAAAAAATTTGTTTGCCAATTTGGTCCAGAAGTATACGAATAATTTAGTACACGCTTGGAGACTTTGGGTTTTATTTAATAATGTTTTTTTTTTGAAATTAAAAAAAAATGGAAGACCGCATTTTGAATTTTTTTTTGTGATTATTATTGTATTAAGAAAAAAGTATTTCTAGGTAATTTCCTAGAGAGCGATTTTTGGAACCCCCACTCGTCCCCCTAGCCTGTCCTAGCCGTAGAGCTCGGCCCAGAAAGTGTCTTAACCTAACCTAACCCTAAATAATAAAAAATAAATAATTGATAGGAGGGGGGACCCGGGGGGGGGGGTCCAAAAATCGTTCTCTAGGACAGAACCTATTTCTAAAATAAGGTTCCCAAATTTATACTGAAAACTATATAAAAGGTCAAAAATTAAAAAAAAATGTTAAAATATTCCACTTTTTTATAGATTACTTCTGTATATTACCACTTTATGTATGTAGTAAGTATACACTTCAGTGAACATCTATCTTTTCTTTCACGTCTAAATATCACGCGGTGCTTTGAATAGCTTGATATTAATATCTTAAATGCTCGTTGATTTAGGTCTATAAACAAATTTTATTTCTAAAATTGACGTATTTTGGGATTTTTTTCTGTGTGAATAAAACTAATCATTTTTATGTTTAGATTTTAAAAGTTTATTAAACTTTCTGTTTAATAAGACTTACATAAATGGTTGACACACACTTGAACGTCAATGTTATATAAGCTGTAAAGCAAAACTTTTAAGTGCTTAACCTGTCCAACTCAATTTCCTATTTTTTCAAATGATTATGTAATTACATTTTGTTTTTTGAAACCTGTAATGCCTTACATTTTTTTATGGATGCTGACTCAACATAATGGGATAAATCTTTACTTTGTACTTAATGAATTTATGTATAAATACCTGGATTTGTCTGTTAATCTCGTTTTCTGTTTCTTCATTTATGTCATCTTCATCTTGGCCACCCTCCCTCTCATCCTCATCAGCTTCACTGCTTGCAGGCATATGTTGGTATGCCTTAAATTTTGAAAGAAAATGATTGCTTCGAAGGCAAGCCATTTTATTGCGTTGTACTTAAAAACATGCAAGACTTTAATGTAAAATGGTGGTCTAATAATTTATACTTTGCCTTGAAAGAAATAAAAAACTTACATTATAGAAAGCTGTTCCTAGTACGGCAGCTGTGAATAATATTATAACATCAGATGTGACAAGCTTTAATTCCAACATTTTGACGTTTGCGAGATTTTCGTCGAACTACTCGCGGATTACTAAAAACATTTGTTCATTGTTATATGTCTCAAGCTTGTAAACCCATGTGTTGTTGTTTATACCGTAAAACCTTTACAATTCGATAAAATAAAATTGAATAGCATGGTGCATGGCACATGAATTTCACCAGTAGGGGATCATTCATTTGACGAACAGTCCCGTTTTCCTCATATGGTCTTTGTACTGTACTGCTTTCCCTAGCTAGTTGAAATTTGGCCCGGTACAATGAACTAAAATGTACCGTCATTAGTCATTCCTTTGTCGAGTTTGTTTGACATGGACTTATCTTTAGTTTAGTTTGGCGTGTTTTACCGTCGCCTCTTGCAGTCTTGCTTGTGCTTCTTTCAACCATTCTTATGAAATTTCCATTTTCATAACATAGAATTAAAGAAAAAATACAAAACAAAAAATCCTATAGATCAGAAAAAAGCATTAAAAAATTATAAACCATCTAAAACCATATCACAATCACACTCAACGCTTTTAGCTCATATTTTTTTGTAAATGGCACTTTCTTTTATGTAACACTGAAGTGGTCCGGAAAGTAAGCTGATGGGTATCATTTTGAAGTTTTTAAGACTTGACACAAAAATTTTAGATGTTGTTCCTCTTTCAAAAAGTTATGCTTAATAAATTTGCTTGTAATACATAACGAAAAATTGTTTTCTGCGACTAAAGATATTCACCATAACGATTTTTCAAAACAATTAATATAATCGGTTTTATAAATCATTCTAACAATCGTTGAAGTTAATAGAGAAAACTATAAACTAATAAAAGCAAACTTATCATGCATAAAATTCTAAAACAGGATTTTGGTAGCGCTTTCAATATTTCAATACAGACTTCAAAATGATTCCCATCCGGCATTCTTAGCGAAATGACGATCATTTGAAGATCGAGACCTTTCAAAAATTGAATGTTAATGCGGTTGATCAAAAGCATCTTAAAACTTTTAATTGGGGTCAAAACAATTGGTGTCAGACTCGACACGCCGCACCTCTGACCCTTTAGTAAAAGTAAATTCAACCTAAAGTCTGACCGCGTCAACCTTGTTGCACCGGCTAGTCCAATTGAGTGTCTGCTTTATTTACCCAATGTCCGGGCGATACAGTACAAACTGGGACCGGAAAGGTTGACCCATCTCGGAAATTGTACTACGGCTTCCCGTGTCAATTTTCAACGTTTAATTGTTTATTATGGCATTAAAACTTTTGTATAATATTGAGATTTTTTGAAGAAAAAAATTGCGTTTGCTGTATAACAGCCAATTATTCTTTTTTTTTAAACGAAATATTTTTTATTTCCGTAAAGTTATTTCGGTTGACAAAATTTACATGTAATTATTAACAGAGTTACTGTGTACGAAAAAGCAATTTTTTACAAAAATATATTAGCTATAACTTTATAGCTAGTAGTACAGTAAAAATGTTCAAGAGATGATAGGAAGATTTACGAAAAGTTTGCGATTACGCGAAAAAGAGTTTTACATATAGAAGTGGGCTATAGTACTATAGCAATTTAAGTAGTTAATAAGGTTCAAGAGAAAACGATAGGTTTACAAGGTTTAAACTTGAAATAAAAACACTATTTATTTTTCTAAGTTTCGGAAAAAATAGAAGCAGATTTTGGTTTATATCATTTCTTGTGCATTGTATTTGCAGTAGTAATAAACAGAAACATTTCACAAGGTTTAACCTCTGAGGTTTACAATTTATAAGTATATTTTCCATACTAAGAACTTTATCGAGTTCATTTTATTCTTTAAAGATATCAAAATGGTGGATGTGGAGAAAGAGCTGTAGAGGCTTGAATACGTAGCGAGAGGCACGGAGAGGATTTTGAGGGGCTTAGAGGTCATTCTGCAAATCAGGAGGCTTCGAGGGTCATTTTGCGAGGCTCATAGTCATAATTCGAATTTCATATTTATATCTGAACTAATTCTGTTCAAAACTTTTAATGGTTTTAGGAAACCAGCCAGACAGACTAATATAAATGAATTATTTGAAATACTGTAAATACAAATCATCAAATTTTAAGAAAAAAATTGTTTCGCGGACTTTTTAAAGGGTTTCAGATTTCCAAAAAAAATCAAACATTTTATACTCTAACTGGTCTTAAAACTAGCTTTCCTGCCGGCCAGGTCAGAGTTAAAAAGGTTTGCATCATTTTTTTCGTTTTAAAAAAGTTTGAGAAAACAAGAAAATTTGTATAATTTAATTATTGTGATTATTGCAGAAACTTAAATTAATACCTTGTAATACAAGTATTTCATTGACCTCTCAACTTTACAAATACAATATAAAGATTTAATCAATTTATTATTTTCATATTTTTCAGCAAATGGAAACAAAGCAAAAACAGCAGAACCAGCACACAGAATGGATCCTAGAACTAAAATTAAATCTATTAAAGGGACTGTACAGGAAAAATGAAAAAGGGATATAGGCTGAAATCTATGCATTTTAGGAGTTGATTAAGACCCATAGGAGTTCTTGTTCCTGTCTCAGGAAATTAATATAAAAGTGAGTCAAATTTTTAAGAAAATTTATATATTTAAAATTGTGTATGAAAATGGTAGATTTAAACGGACCATATTCAGCAAAACATAACCAATCTAAAAACGAAAATATCCCAGAATAGCCTAAGAAACTTATTTTCCTTCTATTTTTGTTTGAATTTAATAATTTTTCATTTTAATAGATATACTTGATAGTAAAGAAATACGCCCTTTTATGACCAGAACTCCCACCGATGTCAGTGCAGTATCATTATTACGTGAGGGCGTCTGTATCACATAACCAGTATACTGCACTGCCATTGGTGGGAGTTCAGAGCTGAAACCTTTAGAATGGGATATCCTTAATCCCGCTCATTAATTCATCTGGAGATTAATAACAAGAGGAGAGAAAAGCATTTTTTAATCTCGAGATTAAGAAAAAGTGTGGATCAAGCATTAATCCTGATCTTCACCATTCAAAAGTTCCCAGCTCTGGTCACATAATACGGACGTATAAATAATATTATCAATTTTCTGAATTTGATCCTTTTAAATTAGGCATTGCCGTCGTTGTATGGAGCGTAACTTAAATTATGCTTTCAGTCCCTTTACAAATTTTGATGTTATTTTGGACTTTCAATTCAATTTTTGTTTTACCTAGATAAGCTGAGGCGAATTCCAATGCATCGGCTAAAATGAATATAAAGTAAGATAAGCTAAATCATTAGATTAAAAAATCGTAATGAATTAAAAGCATAGACTTCGATTTTTTTATACATTGAAACCCTTAATGACGAATACATCGAAAGAATTCATCAAATGTCGTATTCTTCACTTTCTGATAATGGAATGTTGCAGATATTTAGTTTTTTAATTAAATGATTATATGGAACTCTTTAAATCTGTTCCCGCATATTCATGGCTATTTATTTATTTTCGCAAATACTGAAATTTACCAAATATAGTTTAAAACTCATTGAAAAATTGTCAAGACGACATTTGATAAATTCATCCGATGTATTCGTTATTAAGGGTGTCACTGTATCAAAACATCAAAATATATTTTGCTATACATTTCCCATAAATAGATGGGCGAAAGTAATTAAAATTATTTTCTGCTGAAGTTTCATAAAAAAACTCTTAATTTTAGCATTTAGAACTCGTTTTTGGGAAACTGTTTGATTTAGAACTCGTTTTTGGGAAACTGTTTGATTTAGAACTCGTTTTTGGGAAACTGTTTGATTTAGAACTCGTTTTTGGGAAACTGTTTGATTTTGTAATATAAAAATTATACTCTGGATGTGCTCCAATGTACTATAAATGTCCTTTGTATATAGCAATGAATATAAACTAAATCAAAATTTTAAAATTTGAATATAACTGCCTTGGTTGAATAACTAACCTAGTAGGGAAACAGAGACAGGACCGATTAGACTGATGAACCCTTGAGCAAGATATTGAAGAGGGTAGCTGTATCGAACCTGATCCGTACCTAACTCTTCACCCTGCAACATCAGGGCTACATTCAACTACAGGGTGTCCCGATAAACATGGGAATTAAGTGACGACTTCAATATCGTCTCTGTTCCGTGCGGATGGGAAACAATATAAATATACACTTTTTGACAAAAACTTCTTTAAAAACATTTAAGTTATAAGTTCCAATTATTGGACGACGACATTTGACGATTTCTGCTTTTTGTCATAAAGTGGACCAAAATGGTATGTACTATGTAATGTACATGCATGATGTTATGTACCTGAATATAATATGTGCCTTTATGTAATGTATTTGCATGTTGTTATGTACATACATGTTGTTATGTTCCTGCATGTTGTTATGTACCTGCATGTTGATATGTACCTGAATGTTAATATGTACCTGCATGTTGTTATATACAGGGTGTCCCACGAAACATGACAATAGGAAGACGACTTGAAAGTCGTCTTTGGTATTTGAATTTATTTGTGACATTTAGTCTTCTATCTACTTTAACATGTATGATTCTTGAAACAATTATCACATAATTCTCCTAGCCCTGGCATTTCCAAAAAGTTGTCTGTGTTTTTTGTGCTTTCAATATTACCTGAGATATAAAGAGTTTGGTTCAGATTTCAATTTTGTTAAATAAAAGCAAAATTGTCGAAATCTGAACGAAATTCTTCATATCTCGGGCAATATTGAAAGCACAAAAAAGGCACACCACATTTTGGAAATGGCAGGACAAGGAAAATTTTGTGATTATTATCTCTAGAAATTTACTTCTAAAATTAGGTTGACAAATAAACGCAGCAAATTATATCAAAAATCAAGACGACATTCAAGTCGTCCTGCATACTGTCATGTTTCGTGGGACACCCTGTACCTGAATGTTGGTATGTTACTGCATGTAATGTTCCTGCAAGCTGTTATGAACCTGCATATTGTTACCTGCATGTTGTTTACCTGCATGTTATTTATCTGCAATGCAATTAGCACGTTATGTATCTGCATGTTGTTATGTATCTGCATGCTGTTATGTTCCTGCATGTTTTTATGTACCTGCATGCTGATATGTACCTGTATGTTGTTATGTATCTGCATGTTGTTATGCATCTGCATGTTGTTATGTATCTGCATGCTGCAAATGTTCCTGCATGTTTTTATGTACCTGCATGCTGATATGTACCTGTATGTTTTTATGTATCTGCATGTTGTTATGTATCTGCATGTTGTTATGTACCTGTATGTTGTTATGCACCTACATGTTGTTATGTACCTGCATGTTGATGTACCTGCAAGCTTTTATGTATCCGCATGTCGTTATGTATCTGCATTCTGCATGTTGTTTTGTATTTGCATGTTAATTTCCTGCAAGCTTTTATTACCTGCATGTTGATATGTACCTGTATGTTGTTATGCATCTGTATGTTGTTATGTACCTGCATATTTGGTGCAACACCAATGTGTAAACCAGTTAGAGCTCCAATAAAACAACTAACTGAACACACTTCACTTTACAAAGGAACTGATTTATCTATAAGTACATTGATAACCAGAAATCTCTGAAGTAGCGAGAAGACTTTTAGAATCAAGTTATGACTTTAAAGAGGCCAAAGAGCATTTGACGCAGCAATTGTGTAATGAAAACAGACCCATTTCACTTAATTGGTGATTTAATGAGTGTCTAGTAAAACTATTTACAACAAGAAAGTCGTCTTCCTATTTTAGATTTTCCTGTTTATTACTGTACTTTAATTCTTATATCTGTGTAAATTGATGTTGTGCTAGATCACACTTTCAGGTGGTTGCAAAGATAGGGATTAGGAAACAGATCAGTTTATTAGATTTACAATAACTTTGATAAACTAAAATTAAAAAATCTAAATTTTAAATCAAATCTTTTAAACTGTTGCCATTCTGCAACTTCGTGTCGATTATTTCAAGGCAAAATAACTAAGTATTTGTTTTAAATATTTGAAAAGATTATATATTTTTGCCTTTGAGGCAACTCTGCTTAAAATTGTTTTATTATTTATTATTCTTTACATTTTACTCAATATTTTCCGGTTAATAATGTTTTGCTATAAAGTGTGTCCCTAGGACTATAAAGTAGTATCTAGTATTTAGGCCTAAGATGGCCATAGCCAGGCCGGAGAGGGCCATACACAGGATATAAACATATCGAGATTTAAACCTAAAATAAATATATTATATATGGGGATTAAAATAATCAAAAAGATTTAAATGATCTAACATTTAGATTTTTTTTTTATTTACAAAAAGTTTTTAATTGCTGACATCTTAAGTTTCCAGTGATGAACCGAATTTCAGGAAAATCATACAAAAGTTTTAGTATCTTATTTATTTAAATGTTTCTAATTTAAAAATATATTCAATGATTTTAAAATTTCACACAAAATATTAGATTTTGTTCTGGCATTGATTGATAGAATATCTACCTAATTTTGTTGACTAGGATAGCTGCGCTGAGCCGGCCAAACAGATCACAGCCGTTTAACACAGCCACTAGTATATTCACACTTCCCTGACAGACAGAGAGAGTAAAAGTAATTTCAAGTGACCTTCTGTTGAAACAAAAAAAGGTGACATGTCTAATCCAAAAGCTTTGACTGAGAAAGTATGAATTAGATGATTTTGTTATTAAAAACTCTTGAAAGGTATCTTGTACATTTCTTGCTTTAAACGTTCAATGGAGATATTAACACAAGTAACAACTTCTAAACATGGAAAATTTACATGATCTACAATACTTATAATCACATCAAGGTTTAAATTGTACCGTGAATCGTAAATATTCCTTTCTTAAATGAAGGGTCACTTGAAACAATTCACTAACAGTTCCTTTAAAAACATAAACAAAATAACTAAACGTACTGCCAGGTAAATTTAAAATCTCCATTTAGAAATTTAGTTTATCAAAAATTAAAAAGGCAGTTAGACTCTGTCAACTGGCTGAAAAAGGTTTTGATATTTAAACTCAATATGTCTTAAAGGGACAGACCGGCTATGTAAGGTAGTTAAACTGAGTATGCAGTTAAATGTCTATCTAAGATAGAAAAAACTAACTAACATGTTTTGGAATAATTTTTTATTTCATACCGGTTCCATGCCTAGGTGAATTATTGCATAGCTGGGTAGAAAAGTGCAGAAACTAACATAACTGATAAACATAGTTTATTATTATCAAATTAATCATATGTTAATGACAATTATTATTTTTTATCATTAATATCATCAATATTTATAACAATCTACAAAAACTATTTAAGAATATGAATTTCTGCTTTAATTGAAAAACTCGTAGTAATTACTAAATTACAAAAATAAAAGTTTTTAATTTTGCCATCATTACTATCATTATTATTATCACTATTTTTAATTCTGTTAAATTATCATTATTATAATAATCATTTTTTATCATTATTATATTGCTATCATTATCATTATCATTTTTATTATCATTATTATTATTTTCAAAATTATTATTATAATTATTTGTATTTACTTGTTTTAAACTATTCCTAAATGTGATTGTTATACTTGAGAACAAAATTATAAGATATTTGGTATTGAGCAGAATACTAAAAACAAAACAAAAAATATGAAAAAATGAAAACAGTTTTGTCTTCTTTTTAAATTTTAAAATTAGAGAGGAGGAGCATGTCAAATTCACGAATATTTCATTAAACCTACGATTTGTTTAATGTACAAGAAAGACGATTGATGCTGCAGAGCCAATGAAGGAAATTTTCAGATTTAAACACATGTATAGATATTTTACTCATAATTGTTAAGTTTTGACTTGGACATGCTATTATTTCGTTAACAGTAGCTTTAACTAGGAAAATATTTTAACAAAACTATAAAACAATTGAAACAATATTTTGTAAAAATTCAGTTTTGCTTTCCTTAAATCGAATCCTTTCACCTTTTCCTGGAAAAGTTTCATAATGTTTAAAAATTAGAAATCGAAGAAGTATCAACATTTTCACCCTTTTTTGGGGTTTCTTGAAGATGGCCGTGCCCGATCTACCCTTTAACATTGTGTCTCATCAAGCAGGATTTAGATATCAATGGTTATAATTTTTTAAAATCTGATTATTTTTAGTTATATAGTTTCTCTTTAAAAGAACAATTTAGAAAATTATAAAAATAAACAATTCTTAACTTAAAAAACGAGAATATCTTCTTCAGTATTAATCAGATAAAGGTTTGAGGGTACCATTGGGAATCAATCCGACATTGTCATCTTTGCATGGAGTGGATCCGGCATTGTCATCTTTGCATGGAGTGGATTGGTCATTGTCATCTTTGCATGGAGTGGATCGGTCATTGTCATCTTTGCATGGAGTGGATTGGTCATTGTCATCTTTGCATTGAGTGGATCGGTCATTGTCATCTTTGCATGGAGTGGATCGGTCATTATCATCTTTGCATGGAGTGGATCGGGCATTGTCATCTTTGCATGGAGCGGATCAAGCATTGTCATCTTTGCATGGAGTGGATCGGTAATTGTCATCTTTGCATGGAGTGGATCGGGCATTGTCATCTTTGCATGGAGTGGATCGGTCATTGTCATCTTTGCATGGAGTGGATTGGTCATTGCCATCTTTGCATGGAGTTGATCAGTCATTGTCATCTTTGCATTGAGTGGATCAAGCATTGTCATCTTTGCATGGAGTAGATCGGTCATTGTCATCTTTGCATGGAGTGGATCGGTCATTGTCATCTTTGAATGGAGTGGATCGGTAATTGTCATCTTTGCATGGAGTTGATCGGTCATTGTCATCTTTGCATGGAGTGGATCAGGCATTGTCATCTTTGCATGGAGTGGATCGGTCATTGTCATCTTTGCATGGAGTGGATCTGGCATCGTCATCTTTGCATGGATTGGGTCGGTCATTGTCATCTTTGCATGAAGTGGATCGGTCTTTGTCATCTTTTCATGGACTGGATCAGTCATTGTCTTCTTTGCATTGAGTGGATCGGTCATTGTCATCTTTGCATGGAGTGGTTCGGTCATTGTCATCGTTGCATGGAGTGGATCAGTCATTGTCATCTTTGCATGGAGTGGATCGGTCATCGTCATCTTTGCATGGAGTGGATCGGTCACTTAAAAATACAATTTCAGTCCTTTTTAAACCGGAAAAATAAAAATATAATAAATAAATATTTATCTCTATATGAAATCTTTCCTTGGTTTTTGTGTTAGAGTCTGTATTGAGAAATGATGCTGTCAAATCAAGATCATCTTCATGATTAGGATCATGATTAGGATCAGCTTTTAGAACTGTTTCAGACACATGAACTTTCGTTTGGATATTGTCATCCTCTTCTTTAATAGATCTCTCACTAAAATACAAAAATAGATCGAGCTAAAAACTTTAGAATCTCCTCTTTTTATCATTCTCAAGGCTAGTTTAATCTTTAGTATGTATTTAATATCAAAGAAACTGAAAAAAAAACTACATGTGAACAACAAGTAGACAACTCGTGAACAAGACATTAAATAAAAGTCGTTAATACACCATTAAAGAATTTATGAAAACTTTTGCAAAAAAGGAGAAAATTTTTCGTTCATATTTCGCAAACTTTTTCGTGAAATTTCGTATTTTTTGCGAAATTTCTTTCCGTGAAAATTATTAACGCGAAAGGAATTGAGTCTTTGGAACAAAATCAAATATTTAAACCTCAATATCTTTAGAATTCGATGTTGTAAACCTTTGATATTTCAAACTCAGATTATTTGATCTAACAGAATTCATAGTTTGAAATATCTAAGGTCTGCAACATTTTGTTCCAGAGATATAGTGATTAGAAAATCAGAGTTTGTGGCAAAGACTCAATTCCTTTCGCGAAAAAAAATGTGTGGAATTCTCTCGGAGAGTGATCAGCATTAGAAGTTATTATATCATGATTAATTATTTCTCTTCCGTAATTTATTTCAAAACGTTCGAATACCCCCCCCCCCCTCATAAATTTTCACATTTCACAATGTAGTAGAAATGCGCAATTGCCAGTTTTGTAAAGAAATCTCCAATTCAGTTTTCCAAATTTTATGCATGAATAACTAATTCATACTTAAACAGATAACGCTTTTAACCCTATAAAGGCTGGGGGGGGGGGTAGATCCCACGCCCCCCTCAAAAAAGGTCTTCGAGTAAAGGCATAGGGTTTAAATACATGTTCATAGACCAATTTTTCAAGGCCAGCTCAATGAAAAAAATATTAAATGATAACTTTTGTAGTTCGGGTGCTAGGGAGGATTGAAATAAAATGCCAAAAAATGTTAAAAATATATATTTTTTTTTGTTAAAAACAAATATCAAAATGTGACACATGTTTCTACATTCATTTTTCATGGACTTTTCAAAAATTTACTTTTTAGATCTTTAGCTTTATTCATAAAAAGTTATTTTAGATTTATTTTTTACGCAGACAGGACTTTTCACCTCCCTGTGGCCTGTACCCTACCCTGTACATAAAAATATTACAAATATTTTTTAAAGAAATTGAGTCTTTGCCACTAAATTAAATGGTCTAATCCCTATATATTTGCAACCTGATGGTTTAAACCATTTATGTTTCAAATTCAAAATATTTGATCTAACAGAATTCATAATTTTAAAATCTAAGGTCTATGATATTGGGTTGCAAAAATATAGAAATTAGAAAATCAGAATTTGAGGAAAAGACTCTATTTCTTTCTATTTATTCAAAGTCAAAAAAATTCACGATGATAGTGTAAAAAATAAGAGTGCAAGGTCAAAACAACTAGAGGGGGTTGAAGCGCCAAACCCCCCTCCCCCCCCAGCGCGCCTGTCTAGGGTTAAGAGCACTGTTGTAAATCGGGCATTGTCATATTTGCATGAAGGGTCACTTGGAATTATGCTTACAGTTCCTTTAATATGATATATAATCTAAGATTTGAACACACAACGGTTAAATTTGCGTTTTAGACAATTGTTACTATAGGTTTAAAGGCGATTCACACCCTTTTTTCTAGTAATACATTCAAAGTATTTTACAAACTAGCTTAAAGCGTTTTTATATAGACAATGCTTCCCACCACCCCACGCATTTTTTTCGTAAATCCTAAAACTGAGAAATAATTCAAATATTTCTATTTTTATAACTGGTTTTGGTCAAACTAAAACAATCTCCTGATGATGACAATCTTTTTTTGCGATATTTATTTTTAGGAGAAAATTGTATGAATTGGGATGAGATTTGTTTACAAAATGAAAAAATGAAAAATAATGCAGCATTTATTATGCATCGCCAAACTTATTTCTTTCACACCTTGTATTAAACTGTGTGTTTGCATTATAGTGCAAAGAAATAGTTTTTAAATGTCTGCAAAACTATTTGAATTTTTACGGAATGATGATTTAAATGATAATTGTAAAGTACGTATTTTCTGATTGAAATCAACTCGAAACAGCTTTACAATGATTAAAGAGTTAAATTAAAATAACTAGACCATTTGTGTTAAAGGGAACACTCACTTATTTGGGTAATTTGCAGGTAAGCAAATATCCCATTAGCTATTCATTGGTATTAGTCTTACTTTCAAAGACACCTATGGCCTAAGAAAACCCGATATGTCATTCAGAATTCCAGCGCAAAGGTATGATACCCTTGTAGACACTATTTGATGCTTTTTGTACCACAGTCATGGATTAACATTTTTTTCAAATATTAAATTAAATTGTAGTATCTAATAGTTAATTATAGATGTCCTTAATTTTTTTTCAAAATTATTTCTAAAATTGACTATTTTCAAAATAAAACTTGTTTTAAACATTTGACGATTTAAAACGTTATCCCTACTTCCTCAGGATAAAAATCGGCCTTTTCTCTGGTCGTGGATATCTTTGAGAAGTAAGACTAATCTAGCCTGACTACTAATGATTAGCAAATAGCTATTTCCGTAAAAGTAAATATTTCCATTTACTGATAGCGCAGATTGAAGGATTCATAACTCTAATTGGATAATGAGATAGATATAAAGATAAATGTTACCGCCATACTATTTCTATTGGTTTAGAACAGACACCAAACACATGACTGAACCCTGATTGGATTAGGCGCTAATGGACTCGGCATACAGGAGTGATAGGCTGATTAGTTTACTATGAAATTACCCAAGTAGGTGAAAGGCCCCTTTAAGTCAAACTAGATTAAATTGTATTTAAGACTGAAATATTAAAAGTGTTTATCATTATTTGAATTTTAACTTACTCTACTGTTTAATTTGCAGTGTTATAAACCCTTAGAGAGCAAAGGAATTGAGTTTTTGCCACAAAATCTGATTTTCTATTAGCTCTATCCGTGCAACTTAATGCCGTAGACCTTAGATATGTCAGGGTGTAAATATTGAAATATCGAAGGTTCACACCATCAGGTTGCAAAGAAATAAGTTTTAGAAAATTTAAGTTGCGTCAAAGATTCAATTCCTTTTTGAGAATTTCAACTATAAACTCAAATTTCGCTTTGTGGTGTGGTACTTTTTATAAATAGCTTGCTATGCACAGCCGGCGTTCAAGGTTTTTTCTCTATATTTGTATCTTGATCTTTTTAGCTTCAGAAACATATGTCATGAAATTTACATTTATTGAGATGATTTACGAGATTTTGAATGATTATAAATTTTGAAAACAACTTTTGACTTTTACAAGGTAGATCTGTATTCATAACATTTTCTAGATCAATTTTTTTTGAAAATCTATTTCACTACATTGATGAATTAGAAAAAGAAAACAAAGAAAGAAATATTTTTTAAAATATTATTTAATATTTCTTCTAGATCTTTATTTTGGAAAATCTATGCCACTGCACTGATGAAATAGAAAAAGAAAACAAAAAAAATATATTTTTAAATATTATTTAATATTTCTTCTAGATTTTTTTTGATAATCTATGTCACCATGCACATGATCAATGTAGAAAAAGATGATCAACGTAGATTAGAAAAAAAGATAAATAATTATTTATCTTTATATATCATTATAATGATTTAAAAAGGTTATCAGATATAGATAAAGAAAGAAAAAAAGAAAATTTCTAAGGTTATTTAATATTTCTCTAGATTTTTTTTATAATCTATGTCATTGCACATGATCAATGTAGAATAAGAACAAAGATAATAAAGAAAAAAAATTTATATTTGTAAAGAAAATTTATACTTCTTTTTGATCACTGGCACAGGACATGAATAATAAACGATAAGAAAAACATAACAAAGAAATGTTTTTTTGATATATCTTTTAGTCTAATTTTATTGATAATCTATGTCACCATGCAGTGCACATGATAAAGTTAAAAAAACTGCTTATAAAAGGTATTTTAAATTTTTTTAAAAGAAAACAAAGAAAAAAAATATTTTTTTTAAGGGCTAATATTTCTTCTAAGTCCAACTTTATTGATAATAAATTTTACCTAATTAATCTTTGTCTGTGCCTTCTTCGGATTTTTTCAACACGTTTAGCGGCCTCAAGTTCTAACAAACTGAAATAAACATGTTTAGCGGCCTCAAGTTCTAGCAAACTGAAATATACATGTTTAGCGGTCTCAAGTTCTAACAAACTGAAATATACATGTTTAGCGGCCTCAAGCTCTAGCAAACTGAAATATACATGTTTAGCGGTCTCAAGTTCTAACAAACTGAAATATACACGTTTAGCGGCCTCAAGTTCTAACAAACTGAAATAAACATGTTTAGCGGCCTCAAGAGCAAACTGAAATGAACATGTTTAGCGGCCTCAAGTTCAAACAAATGAAATAAACATGTTTAGCGGTCTCAAGTTCTAACAAACTGAAATAAACATGTTTAGCGGCTTTAAGTTCTACTTCTAACAAACTGAAATAAACATGTTTAGCGGCCTCAAGTTCTAGCAAACTGAAATATACATGTTTAGCGGCCTCAAGTTCTAACAAACTGAAATAAACATGTTTAGCGGCCTCAAGTTCTAGCAANTTCATAAACCTGGTCTCAAGCTCTAGCAAACTGAAATAAACATGTTTAGGGGCCTCAAGTTCTAACAAACTGAAATATACACGTTTAGCGGCCTCAAGTTCTAACAAACTGAAATAAATTTCAATATTCATAAATGTTAAAAATTATTTACGTATATTTAAAAGAAGAAATTATTCTTAACTTAACTGCAACATAGGGGAGTGTGATTCAACTTTTCAAGGCCAGCTCATTAAATTTTTTTCAGCCCTCGTACAATATTGGTAGAGATTGTATTTTAAAGGTTGAACAAGTCAATCAGGAAAATGTTGAATAATATTTAATTTCCTTTCATTTTATAAACTACTTGAAAAGCCTCCGTTCACATTTTAACTCAATTTAAAGAACTGTTTGAAAAAACATGAGAACGTGTCCAGCCTTACAATGAGACCCTCTGCTCCTGACCTGACTGATGATCCCAGATATGCATCTGACATTTTCAATGAAGAAAATGATTCTGCAACCGAGGATGTGAGACTGGAGAGCCTTGATCTAGACTTCAGCATTTTAACTTGTCGTTCTAAAATCATTTGTTTTAAATAGCTAGGCTTTCAGAACCCTCGTTTCTATTAAAAAATTTAGCTTTTAACTCGTTCTCAAATTTTCGTGGATTTTTAAAGAATAATAATTTTTTTCATAAACCTTACACAGGTCATGTGTGTGAGTTGCCACAAGTTGGCTCAATCTGTTCAGTCGTTTCATGTTTATTTTATATATGTAATTTGTGGGTTTTCTTTGTACGGCAAACTTCAAAAAATCATTTAACACTATGAGGCAGCAAAAAAAAGGTTTTGCTGAATTTCTATTCGTATGTTGGTTAAATTTTGTCTGCAAAGTTTCCTAGAATTTTGTTTCAATGAGATAGATTTTAAAATATTATTTCTTTAACTACCGGAGAACATTGTTTTTTACAATTTAAGTGAAAAGTGCAAAACACCTGTAACAGAAAAATATAGTAAATCTCTATAACATTTTTCAGACGTCTAATATAATTGAATATATCAGACAATCTTCTGCAGATCTAATTGGTTTTGATGAGAAAGGAAAAATTTAGAATTATAAATATTTGACTTCTTTCAAACCTTTGTAGCTGTACTGACAAAGGGGTTATTGGCATTTTTTTATCAGAAATATAAAATTTCAACAAAAAAGAAGATTTTCATGTTCGAAATTGTTATTTTGTTTGCAAGTTCTCTTATATTTAACAAATATTAATATTTACTTTACAGAACGCCCGGAGAACAAATATTTTCTTTTGGATTTTTAAAAACCGCGTTGAACGTAGAAAATATCAGTTTTCTGCAATTTAAACACCATTTTAGAAATAGTAACACTGCAAGTTCTCTGCTGTCGATGATCAGTTTAAAGGGTACCTTTGTAAATTGAACATTCCCTTTGAAAAGATCCCTTTTTCAACGGAAGAATGTTAAGTGACAAAGAGCATTCGAAATCGATTATTTCTGTCAAAAAACCAGAAAAATCGAACACAATAATTTGAAAAATCTTGATTATTTTTCTCCACGTCTTTGCTTTTTAAATCAAGAGATTTTCTAAAATATGTGTTTTCAAAGTAAAGCATTAAATTAATTAATTAAGTAATAGTTGTCGATACTTATTTAGAATTTATATATTTAGAATACAGAGATCGGATCTTAATCTTAAACGCTTGATCTCGATATCCGGAGTGAGGATGATGATTAATGGTTCACCTCTCGATTAAAGATAATCCTGCATACTTGGAGATCAACGCTTAATCCAGAGATTTGCAATACAAAAGTTTTCACTTTAGAATAATGTAAAGAATTTAAACCGCGTCACTGATCAGCCAAACCGGATCCAATTGAGTGCCAGCTCAATTCTTGAAACACTGAATACAATTTCAAGTGGAACCAACCATATTTGAACCGCGTCTTAAAGTCTTTAAATTCGGCCCCAGGTCGATATATTTAAAACTAACAATCCTGGAATGGAACTGATGACCTGGACATCCTGTACTGGTACTCCGACACCTTAGAATCAAAAGTATACGATTTCTTTATTAACCAAAGGGATGGTGGGTGGGGGAGGGGGGGTCACCCTGGGTTTAACCCTATCCCGACTGGGATATTTTTGTCTAAAATAAATGGGGTGGGGGGGGGTTTGGTTTTCCTACCCCCTTTGATTTTGCACTTAGAGTTGAGATAGGGGAGTGTGATACATGTCCAAATTATTACCTGCCTGCTCATAAAAAAATTATACCTCTAACTTTAATGTTTAAGGTGTAAGGGAGGATTTTTAAAAAGTTTAGAAGATCTCGGAAAAATGTTCAAAAATAATTATTTTTTATTTTAGACAAATATTAACATGTGCCAAATGAATTATATATTACATATATTTTCAAGGGATTTTTAAATAGATAAATTTCAGCCCAGTAACATTTTTAAGTAACTAGAAATTCAAGGCGCTTCGCGCCCTTCTTTCTAGCCTTAGAGGGCGCTTCGCGCCCATCTTCTAAATTAATTGTAAACATGTTCTCTTTGTGTACATCGTAAAACTAAACAAAAATAATTCGCGGATTTTTACAAAAAATTTCGCGGATTTTCAAAATTTTAAAAAATTTAATGACGATCGAATTTTGTTAGAGACAAATATTTGAAATTTTGATGATTCATAAACCTTCCCTGGGCTCCCTAGATGTCCCACAAAAAATTTGGGCCCGATCGGTTCAGCCGTTTTGACGTTTATTGGATACAAACTAACAAACAGACAAACAAACAGACAGACAAACAAGCCAAATTTATATTTTATATTTAAGTTGTTTACTATTTACTTATTTGATTATTATTAAACACAGACCCGCCGTTTGATTTTCCTCCACTCTAAACGATGCATCAAAAAAAAAATTGACAAAATATGTTTTTGGAAAAAAGGGGGACCCCCCTTCCTCCATCCTGATATGGCTAAAAAACGTATTTATGATTTCTTTGATGGTCCTCCTAGCACAGTCATTAGTATAAAATGGACAAAAGTCGTCTTTGTTTACTTCTGTGTGCTTGTTACAAAGTTCAAAGCATCGTTTCTAATCAAGGAGTATGGAATAAGGAGATACAACTGACGCGGCCCGCCCTACCATATGATTATGCATGCTTTGCAGACGGGTACTCCATTTGTATAAGAAACATTCATAGAATATTGTATACGCGGACATTGTACATCAGACAAATATTTCTTATTCAAATGAAGTATCGTATGTAATGCATGTATAATAATATGGTAGGGCGGGCCGCATCAGATGTATCTCTCTTCTATTTGATACTCCTTGCTTCTAATTAGTAACTTAAGCAGACGACTTTTATCCTGTTTTTTACATAATATTGCTGAAAGGAAATATTTTCAAAAACAAATATTGAAATTATGTACTTTGTTCAAAAATATTGATTAAAAGTTGAAATCAATATTCCTTTTAGACTGAAGTTACTGTCCACTGCCTATAACTTAAAATATTCTTTAAATTGTTACATTTTATAAAATAATTGATAAATTCATTTACCATTTACCAACATCTTTTGTATCTGTTTATTTTCAGTCCATAGACCGAATAGAATGAATTTGAGCTACTTCGCTGAACTATCTGCAGCCGGTTTATATTTGAACCATCGATTCAAAGTAAAAGGTTCAGGATGGATTTGAATCTGTGATTAAATTTGAACCGGCGCGGCATCAAAATCTAATTCTCACACATTATTATTAGTTTAAAGTTGACATTTCTTGTTTCAATAATTAGTTTTAGCCATTTCTTCAATAAATTTCGTGTAGTTTTGTTTAACTCGGCTTGGATTTAAAGATAAATACGCTTGAAAAAGATAACTTTCCAGATTTTGCCCATTTTTAACACTAAGTGTTAGAGATGGGCAAAGTGTTAGTTTTGGAATTATATAAAGAACATCTCCTGTATCACTATTATATAAAGAATATTTCCTGTATCACTATTATATAAAGAATATTTCATGTATCACTATTATATAAAGAATATCTCCTGTATCACTATTATATAAAGAATATCTCCTGTATCACTATTATATAAAGAATATCTCCTGTATCACTATCATATAAAGAATATCTCCTGTATAACTATTATATAAAGAATATTTCCTGTATCACTATTATATGAAGAATATCTCCTGTATTACTATAATATAAAGAATATTTCCTGTCAACTATTATATAAAGAATATTTCCTGTATCACTATTATATAAAAAATAACTCCTGTATCACTACTATATAAAAAATATCTCCTGTATCACTATTATATGAAGAATATCTCCTGTATTACTATAATATAAAGAATATCTCCTGTCAACTATTATATAAAGAATATTTCCTGTATCACTATTATATAAAAAATAACTCCTGTATCACTATTATATAAAGAATATCTCATGTCAACTATTATATAAAGAATATCCCCTGAATCACTATTATATAAAGAATATCTCCTGTCAACTATTAAATAAAGAATATTTCCTGTATAACTATCTATATATAAATTTGGCTTGTCTGTCTGGGTGTCTGTTTTTTTCTGATTGTTTGTTTGTATCCAATAAACGTTAAAACGGCTGCACCGATCGAGCCCAAATCTTTTGTGGGGCATCACGTGACCACAGGGAAGGTTTATGAATGATCAAAATTTCAAATATTTGTCTCCATCAAAATTCGACCTTCATTAAATTTTTGAATATTTTGAAAATCCGCGAATTTTTTTGTGAAAATCCGCGAATTATTATTGTTTTGTTTTACGAGGTACACAAAGAGAACATGTTCACGATTGAATTAGAAGATCGGTGCGAAGCGCCCTATAAGGCTAGTTATATAAAAAATAACGCCTGTATCACTGTTATATAAAAAATAACTCCTGTATCACTGTTATATAAAGAATATTTCCTGTATCACTATTATATAAAGAATATCTCCTGTATTACTATTATAAAAAGAATATCTCCTGTATCACTTTTATATAAAGAATATCTCCTGTATCACTATTATAAAAAGAATATCTCCTGTATTACTATAATTTAAAGAATATCTCCTGTCAACTAATATATAAAGAATATCTCCTGTCAACTATTCTATAAAGAATATCTCCTGTATCACTATTATATAAAGAATATCTCCTGTATCACTATTATATAAAGAATATCTCCTGTATCACTATTATTTAAAGAATATCTCCTGTATCACTATTATATAAAGAATATCTCTTGTATCACTATTATATACAGAATATCTCCTGTATTACAATAATATAAAGAATATCTCCTGTATTACAATAATATAAAGAATATATTCTGTATCACTATTATATAAAAAATATCTCCTGTATCACTTTTATATAAAGAATATCTCATGTATCACTATTATATAAAGAATATCCCCTGTCAACTAATATATAAAGAATATCTTCTGTATCATTATTATATAAAAAATATCTCCTGTATCACTATTATATAAAGAATATCTCATGTATCACTATTATATAAAGAATATCCCCTGTCAACTAATATATAAAGAATATCTCCTGTATCACTATTATATAAAGAATATCTCCTGTATTTGCTGACTATTCCACATCTCTTGAAGAGGAGGGAAAACAGGTTTCTAAAATTTGAAAAATAAAATAATAATAAATAAAATTTGAAAGATAAAAAAATATAAAATAAAAAAGTTTCCTTTCAAGAAAACCAAGTTTTACCTGATTATTAGACCTTAATGCAGAACTATCCAGGATTCCTAGAGAAAAGTATGGAATTAAATTAAAATCATAATGACTGTGCATTTAAAGAGTTTCATTCCGGATTCACAACGGTACCACGGAATCTAGTTAATAATGTGGAAGTTATTGTCTTTTTTCCAGCATTGAAAATTCTCTTTATTGTTTCTGCAGGCAAAAATTCACAAGTCACTTTAAAAACAAACACAACTAAAATATTGAATCAAAAAGTTAAAATCTAAGGTACTGATAATAATCGGACATTTCCACGTATAATAAGCAATGGGAAATTATATTCGTATTACAGAAAATTTTGATATATTTAGACGTTTAAAAAGGATTACGACAATCTGAGAAGGGTGAAACGATTTAAAATTGTATTTTGTAGAAGTTTGCTTTATCAAACATGCAAAATTGTTATCCTTGGTGAAAATATAAGGCAAAAACTAACCAAAAACTATCGCTTTAAAAACCCGAAAGCAGTCGTTTAAAAATGATCGTTTTTAACTTATATTTTCTTTTAGAATAACAAATTTGCATGTTTGATAAAAGCGAACTTCTACAGAATAAAGTTTTAAACTATTGGAACCTTCTCATATTTTCGAAAACCGTTTGGAACGTCTAAAAACTTAAAAAGTTTCTCTAAACGAATCTGGGTTTTGCCCATCACTGTTTATGATTTTTGAGAGTGCTAGAAACTATATTTACAATCTCTTTAATCAGTTTTTTAATCAACATGAAGAGAAGCAATTTTTTAGAGCTTCCTCTCAAGTTCTTGGTTCAAGGGTTTTAGAATATCTATTTATATTTCTTAATTGTTTTTAATTGTTTTTAGTTAAATTAATATCTGGATGAAATTAAAAACATTTTCTAAATTAAACATAAAATCACAATTTTTGAAACCATCTTCAAATCAGCTCTTTTCAACAATTAAAGGTGTCTGAGCTAGGCAGAAATTAATCGGTAGTTTAGTCAAATAGTCAATATTTCTTACAGGCAGCCCATATTTACTTGTTAAGTAATCGAGTATTAGCCACGAATTCTGATTGACTGCCCTAACCCCAATATTTTTGCAACCCGAAGATATCAAATAGTCAGAAAACATTAAATATAAAGAAAATATAGAAAATTCAAGTTTGTGTAAAAACTCAATTTTGTTTAAAAGAAACAAGTAATTAAATTTTTTTAAATTGGGATATAAGTGTATTTTCCAATGATATACAAGGCTTCCCACCAAGGAATTAACTTTGATTACGACTTTCAAATGGATGAATTCTCCTGTTTTGAAGAAAACCGGTTTCGGATGAATCGATCAGTTTGGCAAGGAACCGCACTGTAGAAGTTTTGATTAAATAGATTCCGTAAAGTCTAGATTAAAATCTTATCCTTAGCGGTTAACCCTGTTTTAAAATCTAATCCTCAGCGGTTAACCCTGTATTAAAATCTAATCCACAGCGGTTAACCCTGTATTAAAATCTAATCCTCAGCAGTTAACCCTGTATTAATATCTAATCCTCAGCGGTTAACCCTGAATTGAAATCTAATCCTCAACGGTTAACCCTGTATTAGAATATAATCCTCAGCGGCTAACCCTGTATTGAAATCTAATCCACAGCGGTTAACCCTGTATTGAAATCTAATCCTCAGCGGTTAACCCTGTATTAAAATCTAATCCTCAGCGGTTAACCCTGAATTAAAATCCAATCCTCAGCGGTTAACCCTGTATTAAAATCTAATCCACAGTGGTTAACCCTGTATTAAAATCTAATCCACAGTGGTTAACCCTGTATTAAAATCTAATCCTCAGCGATAAACCCTGTATTAAAATCTAATCCTCAGCAGTTAACCCTGTATTAAAATCTAATCCACAGCGGTTAACCCTGTATTAAAATCTAATCCTCAGCGGTTAACCCTGTATTAAAATCTAATCCTCAGCGGTTAACCCTGTATTGAAATCTAATCCACAGCGGTTAACCCTGTATTAAAATCTAATCCACAGCGGTTAACCCTGTATGTAAGCAGTTAACCCTTAAATTTAATTTCACAATTGTTTTAAAACGCTTCTTATCATTTTATTTGTTGCCTACCTTTGTTGTTTTGTGTCACTGTTTGATAATTATCTTCTGCAAAATACAGATGTGAACTTGAACTAGTAGATGAGCCTACCAGAATCCACCAAAATCCAAAATATCCTTTGAATCAGATTTGGAAATTTTGTCCACTTATATATTTGAATACTCAGTTCATGCTAAAGTAACAGGATGTATGCCACAAATAAGCTTAAATTTTCTAATCCTTATATCTTGCAACCCCTCATATTTCAAACTTTGATTATTTTTATTTCAAAGATATAATGCTAAAAATCAGAGTTTGGTGCAAGAACTCATTACTTTTCTGTATTGAAGTTGTATAATGTTAAATTAGAGGCACATTATTTATGGCACCTATATAGCTGCTATTTTATTTCTTCCCGAAAATATAGAAATTTTGCTAAATTTTTCAATTTAAATAAAATTAAATTGAAATTACTTTTTGATTCAGATTCTATTTTTGTATTCAACTTTTAAATATTCGAAAAAATCGAAAAAAAATAAACTGTCCTGACAAAAAACTTTAAACCACTGCAAGCAAAAAAATTATAGTTATTTTAAAGGAATTAGGTAGATTTGAATTTTGCCTGAAAACGAATGATCCCTGAACAAAAGTTTAATTAGTGATTTATAGTTCATGTAACGTCTGAATTCTAATATAAAACATTTCAAAGGGACTGTTCAGATTAATTGAAAGGGGTTAAAGGTTAAAGCATAAACGTTTTAGGAGATAGTTGTGACAAATATATTAGTTCTTTCTAATTTTCCTGTCTTGAGAAAATGTTATTAAACTGTGTCCAAATAATACCAAAACTCATATAAATGTGATAGTATTTGTATCAAAGGTTAAACAGATGCATATTCAGCAAATACGGAACGAATATGAAACTCACGATAAACTAGAGGTGCCTAGAAATTCTAGGTATGCTCCTAGCTTACAATTTTGATAAAATAAATTCATTTCAAATAGATAAAGTAGATATAAGTGAAAATATAATTGTTTCGTCTATCACGTGACCAGAATTTCCAGCAATGGCAGTGTGATCAACGCCTAGAATTCTAAGCTTTATCCTTTAACCCTTTCATTTTACCTGATCAGTCCCTTTCAGAATCAGTTTTATAATCTTTATTTTTTATTTTCTTGACTCCTGAATTTATTTACAGTTTGAATACAAACTGTTTAAAAGTGGAAAATGATCTTAATTGGAAAGGAATTGAGTCTTTGGAACAAAATCAAATATTTAAACTTCAATATCTTTAGAACCCGATGTTGTAAACCTTTGATATTTCAAACTTAAATTATTAAATCTAACAGAATTCATAGTTTGAAATATCTAAGGTCTACAACATTTGGTTCCAAAGTTATAGTGATTAGAAAATCAGAGTTTGTTGCAAAGACTCAATTCCTTTGATAACTATTCTTTTTGACTTTGTCATCGTACCTAGAACTCAGAAGGGATGGGTATTGTTTTGGATTCGGTTTTTAAAAATTCAAGGGTTTTTGGCTTAAAATGTTCTCTACAAGAATTTGAGATGTTAAACAAACAGCAAAATACGAATTTCTACTTGCTTCTATCTATATACTTTGCTTGGGTGTTTGTTTTTTGTTTGTTGAAATGTTTGTATCCACTTAACGTCAAAACGGCTGAACCGATCTGGCCCAAATTTTGTTTGGGACCTCACATGACCCCAGGGAAGGTTTATGAATGATCAAAATTTAAAAAATGAGCCTGTAACAAAATTCAAATGTTATTAAATTAAATGTTTGCGAAGAGAAAACATCATAAATCAAAATAGAAGATGAGTGCGAAGCACCCTGAAAGCGTATTTTTTTACATTAAGCAAAACATCCTTTATGACCAAAGATTTTTCAAAAACATTTTGTAATGAAAGCAAACTTATAAAGCATACAATTTTGAAATAGGTTTAATATTTCAGATTCCTGTGGAGCAGTCTAAAAATCCATTAACCTTCCATGATACCCACCAGTACCTAGAAGTATACGAACTACACGGTGTAACATTCTCAAGTTCGTTTGTGATAAGAAGAGCTTTGACAGGGACCAGTGAAGATTCTTCTAAATCCGACTGGAAAAAATATGTGTCACATGTTAATATGTAAAAATATTTATTTTAAACATTTTTCCGACGTACATTTTGATTTTTTTTCAAATCCTCCCTTGCACCCTATACCATCGAAGATAGAGGTATAATTTTTTTATTGAACACGCTTTGAAAACTCTTATTTCAAATCATAGGAAGGGGGGGGGGGACATCAAATTTAATTAAAGGATTAAAACCCAATCTAGTCATAATAGGTTCGAATTCCGTGTGTAGAAATTATAATCCCAGTACTTCTAGTTTACCGTGAGTAGAAACTATAACCGGAACAAGGGCATCTAAACTTGTCTTTTTGTCACGCATATTAAAACTCTTTACGCCACGTCAAAATAAATCAAATTTCACATTACATTTAATTTTCTAATGTTTTCAATTGTGTTGTTAATCATTTTTATAAACTATAATATTTCGTTTCGTTTTTAAGTTTTAGAATGTTTTCTGACCTCGAATTTTCCGACCAAAAAATATATTTTCTCTTTTAAAGGTCGTTAACTATCGTTTTCGTTTGGTCGTCGTTAACTATCGTTAACGCAGGGTCGTCGTTAACGGTCGTTAACTTAGGGTCGTTTTTAATTTTTTCGTCGTTTTTAAAATGAAACGATCACGTTTTTAGAGATATATTAAGAATAATTTGTCGCAATGTTTTACCATGGATTTCACATAAATTTCAATATCTTTAATCTGTTGTAGTTTATTGTATTATGCGTTGTACTTTCCATAAGAATGATATAAAAAGGTTTATTTGACTTCTGTTTAAGGAAAATGTATAATTTCAAACTTTGGAAACGTTGCATAACATTTATCTCATAGCTTTACGTTTGATGAAAAACGATAAAACAATTTAAAAGCAGTGTTATACCCAGCACTTGACACACAAAAATATAAAACTGTCAATTTAAAAATATTTCTGGAAATCATTTTTTGTCAAACTGTAGAAAAATTAACCAAGCCCTCATTTACCCACGCTGCAATGGATTCGCATAAGGAAATATGATTTATAAGGTATAACATGAGAAAATCATTTTTCTTTTTTATTGATATTTTTGATTTATTTTGAGATCTAACCTTGGTCAAAACTTTATAAACATGTTTGTATATCTAAGCCAATTTATTGTCCTAACATTTTTTCTGAAAAATCTAATTTTTCCCATTTTTGCTCCGCACCGAACTGTTTATCATTTAAAAAAGTGTTTATAATATATAATCTTCCAATCTTCTTCCCTTTTATGTGATATACAAATTATGTGCACTAAAATCAACAGTAAAACTTATTTTTACCTCTCCTCATACACTCCCCACTCATACATTCCCTCCCCCCTCATACACTCTATCCACGTATTCTAATTTTCTCTTAGATAATTATCTTCCTTGCATTATTTTAACTTTGCTTTAAATGTTTTTTGTAATTGATTAATTTTTTGTGATTTTTGTAGAGCATAAATTTTTAAACCACCCTTATTGGCTAGATAGGCCCCAAAAAATGAATTGTATGTATGTTATTCAAAATATAAAAAACAATTTCTGTATATTTTACATATTTTTTGTAATAAATAAAAAAAAACTTTTGAAAACTTTTTGTGTTTCGATGAGAAACCTTTTCTTTTCTAACTGTTATGCTTTGGTGGAATTTCGTGTTAATATATTTTTCTTTATCCAGATTTTGCCAGATTTTCTTATGAAAAAGATTTATTCTAATTTGATTGAGTTTTTAATGTTTCAATAAAACTTTTCTCTGACATTTATAGTGAAAAAATCTGACTTAACAAATGATTCAGTTTGAAAATGCAACTCAGATTATTAACATTGTTGAGTGCTTGTCTTTTTTTCGTGGATTATGTATCCACAATGTGTCCTCATGGGTATAGATAATTTTAAAAATTACATAAGAAAATAAAAGAAATAAAACAATAACATAAACTTTAACCTAAATGAATTTCAGTGGTACAGGTCCAACGGCATTTTCAATTGCTATGGAAAAGCGGAATCTTGAAGTTTTTGAACAAATCAAACAACTGCAGTCTGAAGTGTTTCTTGTAAATGGTTCAGTTCAAAATATAAAACTTATAAGAGATAGCACCCTCGCAAAAATCCTGGGCACAATTAAATCTGATATCAACCTAATTGGAAGCTCTTTAAAAAACAGCAGCGCTATGGATAAAAATAATAATCATATCTATGCACAACTAGACTATATAATCTGGGAAATAAGTAAGATTGATGCTTTGGTCCAGGATGCATGTAAAACTATATTTCCTGCTTGTAATGCCACTGAACACAGATTATACAGCTCGGAGTGCAATAATTTGTTAAACCCACGCTGGGGTGCAGCAAATATAGGTAGAGTTTGGCGTGTTTAATTAAATCCTTCATCCAGGGAGAAACTTCGTTCAGTAAAATCGTTCGTCCATTAAAATTTTTGGTTCAGTAAATAACCAATATTTTAAAACAAATTTTCGTTAGACGATATTGCTTGTTCAGTAAAAGACGACAGTTTTTTTTCCAAAGTTAGTAAAAAATTTTTTTTTAATGTTATTCAAACGAACGATTTAAAAATCGTTTATCAATTGTGTGACTAATCAACAAAATGCGAATGACCGTTAGTGATTTAAGATCGTTCGTTTTTGGTTTTCTTGTTGGTTTATATTTCTCTGAAAGATAAAATATTTTTGTTTGATTAATTTTCTAAACGACACCATGTTTCACAACAAATTTTGTTCGCCTTGTAATATTTCGTTTGTTCGTTGGAAACGAAACCAATCTCTAACTACAGGGTTCAGACGTCTCCTCCCTGCAGCATACGAGGATGGGATTGGAGTTCCTAGAGGAGGTTTTCCATTCCTTGGTCAAACTAATAGATCTCTTCCTTCGGCTAGATTCATTTCTCAAGAGATTACAAAACAAAATCTTCAATGGAGAAGGCAAGAGTTTGGATATTCTGACCTTTTTACAGCATTTGGACAGTTCATGTCACACGACTTCAGGCATGTCATAAAAAATTTGGTTTAAACCATTTGAATTACAACTTTACTTCGATATGATTAGGAGCAAAATCGGATAAGAATTGACTAATATTTTCTAATCCCCGTATCTTTGCAACCTGATGTTGCATATCTTTAATGTCTTAAACTTAGATTATTTGATCTAAGAAAATTAGTTGCTTGTAACATCTAAAGTCTAAATTATTAGAAAAGATATATATATATATATCTAAGTATAATATCTGAAGTTATGTACGGAGAGGAAGGGGTGGGGGAAGGGGGCGGGTTGATATTAATTTTTAGACATAATATTTACCCCTAAATACTCCATAATGTCAATACTCCATAAATATTCAGGTCAAAATAATAATAATTTCAAATCATATTTCCTAAAAACCAAACTTTTGTTTTAACTCTTTCCCTTTGTTTTGTCTAGTTTTGTTTTATAGTTTCTTTAAAATTTGTCTTCAATAATGAAATTGGAAAAGTGAAGAAATTTTAACGCTTGCCGTTGTAAGCCGTTTTCAAGTTAAATAGAGAAAGGGAAAGGCTTGGTATAGTATTCCTACTAGAGAAGAAATAATCTTTACCATTACTTTTTACCCAATATATATAGTATATACCTCTTTAGCCATTCTATAGTTTCATAATTTTGGTGAATAAATTCCATGTTGTTCAAATTTTGACATGTTGCTACATAGTTTCTCCCCTGAGGGCAAAGCAAATGAATGTTGTAAGAATCCAACCAACCCGGAATGTTTTCCTATACGAGTTCCTGAGGATGACAATCATTTCACAAGCACTACCTGTCTTGATCTTAGGAGAACAGTCCCCTTCTGCAACATGGAGGGCAAAATTAGGCCAGACAATTATTTCATAAAAACAAAATCCCTCTCTTCTTTAGACTTAGCATGGCGCATGATCTTCGTTAACCCTATTCCTGCTGGGGGGGGGGGGGGCAATTTGACCCCCCCCCCGTAGTTTTTTTTACATAACTCAAAAAGTATTGGTCTGAGGCTGTTGAAATTTTCTGACTTTTCTTACATACCCAAAGCCCTCCCTTTAGGCCCAAAACCGGGCTTTAATACTAACTGCCTGAGTCCTCAGGCACACTGCCTGAATGACTGCTTTTGCCTGTACCAAACTAAATCTTTGTTTTGACCCACTTTCACTTGTCAGATTTTGATAAAATTTAGCTTTTTGGAAAGCCTATGACATAAGGAAACGGATTGCACAAGTTTTTGGAAAAAAAATTGCAAATTTTTTGCAAACAACCTGTGAAAGGAAATTTGTACATTTTTAGTTTTTCTTGATTAAAAATCAGGTTATTTAAAATTTTGCAAAAATTTTTGCATATTTGAAATGGCATGGTCAAGGGCCTTTCAAAAATGCATAATTTGTCATTTTTTGGACAAATTTTTTTTTGCAAACATTTTTACAATAAAACTGGATTTTGCGATAAAAAATTCAATTTTCGCAAATTTGCAAATTTTTTTGCAGATTCTAAAAGTAGAACACAAGAGCTTTCTAATGATATATCATTTGTCATATTTGGACATAAAACACGGGATTTAGAGGGGGGGGGTCTAATTGACCCCCCCCCCCAGCGTATCCTGGTTTTCAAGTACCCCAGCAGGGATAGGGTTAAGATCATTTTACAATGCCAAAACTAGAGTTTCTAACAAAGTTTAGTCAAAAAAGAATTCAGATTATGTAAATCAAAACTTTTAATTTTTTATCTCTGAAATAAAGTGCGAGGCAAAAATGATTTCGAATAAATATAGTGAAATTTTGACTAAATTAAGTAGATTAGATTAGAGTAAAATTGAATGAAAGTAAATAAAAGTTTTCTTATTGAAGAATTATTGAGAAAAAAAAGAAGGTCTTGAATTTCTGAAAAGTAACCAAATAAATTTGTTTTTCTCATATTTTAAATTAATTTCAAAGATAGAGGAGCTACGAGGTCACAAGTGACATTATACCTAAGCACTCAGGCTTCCGTCATATAATATCACTTCTTTGTATCGGAACCTTTCTATCAGCCTATCTATTATACATAAGCACTCAGGCTCCCGTCATATAATATCACTTCTTTGTATCGGAACCTTTCTATCAGCCTATCTATTATACATAAGCATTTAGGCTTCCGTCATATAATATCACTTCTTTGTATCGGAACCTTTCTATCAGCCTATCTATTTCTTTAATATTTGAGTTAATTTCTAAGAATTTTGTCTGGTAAAAGGGAACAAATGAACGCTGTAACATCTGTAATTGATGCCAACACGGTATACGGTTCAGATGAAACCCAAGCTCTGAAGATCCGAACCCAAGTTGACGGTTTATTAAAAGTTAATCCTAACTTTGACCGGCTTATACCTATACTGAATGGGTCGTTGTCTGCTGGAGATATGAGACTAACTGAATCCCCTATGCTGACCACTTTACATACACTTTTCCTCAGGTAACATTCTTTACATTTTAAGACAATCTTACATTAAAATTCATCCTTTTAAAAAAAAAGTTTTCTTCAAATTGAATCTCTGACTTTTGATTTGAAGAGCTTTAATTAATTTGCAGCTACCCCCTCCCCCCCTCAAGAAAATTTTAAAATGAGTTAGATAAAGAGTTGAATAAAAACAACAAAGGAATTTAGTCATTGCCACAAACTCTGATTTGCTTATCCCAGTAGCTTTGCAACCCAATGTAGTAGACCTTAGATATTTTAAACAATTAATTCTGTTAAATCAAATGATCTGAAATTTTAAAGGTTTACCCCATCGGGTGACACTGATATAGGATTAGAAAATAATCTTATTTTTTTTAGGGAACACAACCGATTAGCAGGAAAACTAAAGAAGAAATCTAAAAGTAAAGATGATGAATTTATTTATCAAAAAGCTAGAAGTTTATTGATAGCAGAGCTCCAAAGTATTGTGTATAATGAATATCTACCAATTCTGCTGGGTGCACAACTTATGAAATCAAGAAATTTTTATATAAAACCAAATCCCCAGACAGTTTACAACAACACTATCAACCCTAGTACAACAAACAGTTTTGCAACTGCATCTTTCAGGTAACATTTTTTTTTCTTACAGAAACTGTAAGTCAAATTTCAAGGGACCCTCCGTACGGTAACCTTGAAAACTTTCGCTGATTTGTAATGTGGACAATACGGTACTATATCTAGGTTATTTCTTATAATTTTATAGAGCAAAGTCACTTTTGTAGAGTTACCACAATTATAAATAATCAATTTATAAGAATATAAACATTGATATCTTATTGATACATGAGCAGACAAAGCTTTTAAGGGTATCGTTCTTAAATAAAAAATAAGTGGGTTTGGAAAATCATTTTGCAGCCATATGTTTTAAGAAAAGACTGTAAAGAAAAGTCGTCCTATTGAAGATGTGTGGAGAAGAAAAAATGTTTTAAAGTTGTAATTTGTAATGGTTTGAAGAAGCTGCATTTTTGCCACAAGGTTTCTGTTTTAACCCGAAATCATCTTTATCTTTGATATTTCCAACTTCCTAATTTATCAAAACAGATTTGGCATATCACTGTGATATTATTTTTCTATGTTTGGTCATACCAGTGTGATATTATTTTTCTAGATTTGATCATACCATGGTGATATTATTTTTTCTAGATTTGATCATACCATGGTGATATTATTTTTCTAGATTTGGTCATACCATGGTGATATTATTTTTCTAGATTTGTTCATACCATGGTGATATTATTTTTCTAGATTTGGTCATACCATGGTGATTTTATTTTTCTAGATTTGGCCATACCATTGTGATATTATTTTCTAGATTCGGTCATACCACGGTGATATTATTTTTCTAGATTTGGCCATACCATGGTTATGGACAAGGTTACTTTGAAGGATCCTGCTCTCTTTAATATTTCTCAGTTTCCGCTTCATGAAAACTTCTTCAATCCTAATCTTTATCATTCCGAAAATGGTCAAGGGTTTGTTCAAACTCTTCTAGGTATATTTTCTCTTATATTCTTACTTTAAAATCCATCATTACCTAATCTTCTAGATAAGTTATAGGACTTAAAGGGACAGTGTGTTCAATTTCTTGTGACCCTCCATGTCCGATTTAGAATGGTACCCTTGAAATATTGAAATATTGATTTGATCAAAAATGTGGAAGATACCGTAGTTTTTATTCTAATAGTTTCTCCAATGCTTGTTATGAGCAGGAAGTGCGCGGAGAACCCGCCGATGAAAATTAACAGTCTTTAGAAACCAAAACATGAATATCTAATTTCCACTTGATCAGACAAAGCTTTTAAATAAGTCGGACATTACCACCTTAACATGGAGGGTCACTTAAAATTACGCTGACAGTCCCTTTAAAGAGATGAAAAATGTAAATTTGCCAATATATCTATATATAAATTTGGCTTGTCTGTCTGTTTGTTTGTATCCAATAAACGTCAAAACGGCTGAACCGATCGGGCCCAAATTTTTTGTGGGACATCTAGGGACCCCAGGGAAGGTTTATGAAAAATCAAAATTTCAAATATTTGTCTCCATCAAAATTCGATCGTCATTAAATTTTTAAAAATTTTGAAAATCCGCAAAATTTTTTGTGAAAATCCGCGAATTATTTTTGTTTTGTTTTACGATGTACACAAAGAGAACATGTTCAAAACTAATTTAGAAGATTGGCGCGAAGCGCCCTCTAAGGCTAGAAAGAAGGGCGCGAAGCGCCTTGAATTTCTAGTAATATATAATATATAATACCCAAAGGTTTACTAACGTATATTTATATATATAAGAAAACAAGTATTTAAAACAAGTTTTGAATTTTATATATATTTAAATATATATATGAACGAAGAGCTTTATTATATCGATTAGGAATTAAATTGAATCATTTAAAAACTTTTTTATTTATGTTGAGTAGGTCTGATGTCTGTACAATCAAAGATGGTTGGACCTAACTTTTCTAGAGAGATAACTGATTTCCTTTACTTTGATAAAATGTTAAATACAAGCAGTGATCTTCTCGCAAAAAATCTACAAAGAGGAAGAGACCATGGGATTCCAGGCTAGGCTTTAGATATTTTTGTCAGAGTAATTTTTCAAAATAACTTTGAATAATTTCCTAATAAAATTTTTCCTGTCTAGAAGAAAGGAATTGAATCTTTTAAATTTCAAACTTAGATTATTTTATTAAATAGAATTCATAGTTTGAAATATCTCAGGTATACAACATTAGTTTGTATAGATATATGGATTAGAAAAGCAGAGTTTGAGGCCAAGACTTCTAATTTCTAATATTTCTATTTCAATATGGAATTTTTCTCTTAAAAATGTTACAAATATCGTTTAAATGTTAAAAAGGAATCACCTTTTTCAAAATTCTCATAATACTTCAGATTTTGGTATGAGGAGAATAACTAATTTTGAACTATCTTAAAACGAGTATTATCAAAACTTTATAAGATATAAATGAATTATCCTGTTCTAGTGAATTTTATGTGCTTTAGGTTACAATCAGTTCCGTGAGCTGTGTGGTCTGTCTAAAATTAAATCCCTGAGTACTCCGATTCCTCCGTCTTTCATCAACAGGAGAAGATGGAATGTCCTCCGACAGATGTATTCCTCCCCGGAGGATATAGATTTATTTGTCGGAGGTGTGATGGAGAAAACAAGGAAGGGTATGCCTGGTCCAACATTTACATGCATCAACGCAGAACAGTTCGAGGCACTTTTAAAAGGTAAGAAGTGTGTTACTTACTGCCTGGCTGGTAGTGGCGCAGCACGCCTACCTGACAGGTTGTGACCGGCACGCCTGTCTGGCGGGTTGGATAATCTAGGAGGATTTAATGATTGAATTTTCATTCTTTCTGAATGATTATCCACCATAAAGACGTCTTATGGTCTCAAATAATTTCTAAAATATTTCTCTACAATACTGCATTCTCAGTTCAACTGCCATGTTTAGCCAGCCACTCGCATTAAAGGGACTGTAATCGTAATTGACCTTTCATGCCAGATTTGCAATTAACAATACCCTTTAAATTTTGTATCTAGTCAACAAATGTTGAAGATCTGGTCATTATCTGACAATTCCCCGTTGATGTAGAAATCGTATTTCGCTTCATAAAAAACACACAATTGAAATTTAGCAATTTTAAGACAATAGATTTCTCCTTCATTCTTGATCAAAGAAAGCTTTTAAGAGAAGCCTTGTGAGTCTTTACATGTAATTTTACATATATGTACGTGGAGTAACTTGAAATAGCGTGTACTGTATATGCAGTACCATTAATAAATAAAAAATAGATTTTTTTCTTCAATCTGGATGAAAACCGTTTATTTTCTAGGTGATCGGTTCTTCTTTACCCATGTTGGAGAAAAAACCAGCTATAATTTCCAGCAAAGGAAACAGTTAAACCGAAGACGACTCCGCGATATTATTTGTGAAAACACAGCAATACAAAGAGCTCAGCTGAACGTGTTTAAAACCAGGGGATGGCAAAAACCCTGTTCAAGAGTAAATTCTTTGGATGTTTCATTGTTTCTTTGAAATTTTAAGAACTAAATAAATTCCATTGATTTAATTTTTTTTTATTTCAAAATAATATTTGCTGCTTAGCAAAATTGTGAAGCATGAAAATTAACTATTTAAAAGATTAAAGTGTCGCCAGGCTTTTACTTTTAGTAATGATCCGTAAGAAACATGCCAAGGCTCAGTTACATTTTATATAATTACACTTTCTACAATAACATTTGCTACATAGTAACAAATCCTATTAAGTTACACTTCCTAGTCCTACAATAACATTTGCTACATGGTTACAAATCCTATAATAAAGTTACACTTCCTACAATAACATTTGCTACATAGTAACAAATCCTATTAAGTTACACTTCCTACAATAACATTTGCTACATGGTTACAAGTCCTATGAACTTACACTTCCTATAATCATTTGCTGCGTGGTAACAAATCCGATGAAGTTACACTTCCTATAATAACATTTGCTACATGGTTATACAAATCCTATAAAATTACACTTCCTAAAATAATATTTGCTATATGATAACAAATCCTATGAAGGTACACTTCCTATAATAACATTTGCAAATCCTATAAAATTACACTTCCTATAATAATATTTGCTATATGATAACAAATCCTATGAAGGTACACTTCCTATAATAACATTTGCTACAAGGTAACAAATGCTGTTGAGTTACACTTTCTATAATGACAATTGCTACATGGTTATGCAAATCCTATAAAGTTAGATTTCTTTTAATAACATTTGCTGCATGGTAACAAATCCTATTAAGTTACACTTCCTATAATAACATTTGCTACATGATAACAAATCCTATTAAGTTACACTTCCTTTAATAACATTTGCTATCGGCCTCATGTCATGTTCTAGCCTCGGCACTCGGCCCAGAAGTTGGTAAGAAACGGCACACTATTTAACATTTAAAAGGTCACAGCGCTCGGCCCCCTAGCCCATCGAAGCCGTAGCGCTCGGCTTAACCTTAACCCTTACCCAACATGATCTGTAATTAAAGGATATGTTTTAGAAGTACATTTATTGCTTCTAAATATAAATACATATTAAATAAAGAGTGTATAAAAGGAATGGAAGTTGAGAAGGTCTTCTCCAGTTCCAGGATCCGACACAACTGATTTTCGGATTTCATAATCCTCTTTCGGGGATTTCATTGTAAATTAATCTAAGCTAATCAAGTATAAATATTTTCATGGCCCTGAACAAATGCAAAATGCTTGTTTTTATAGCATTAGATTTTCAGAGAAAACAGTGACGTCAGAATGTTTAAGTTTAAAACCATTACAATCTTGTTCAAGTAAAGAGATTGCTTGCCCCCCCCCCCCCAATTTTGCCTCCCAAGTAAGTACGCAAAGTGTGTCTCTAGGTCACAGAGTTGCAAAAATACAAACCAAGGTCATTTTATATTTTCTAATAATCCTAGCTAACCTTAAAATTCTTGAACTGAGCAAGGAGTTTCACAATTTAAATTTGAGGCAAATCGGTCGAGAATTCCGGTTTTATAATCGGACACACAAACATATAAAACGTTTATTTCTACCTCTCATAAATATAGAAATATAAAATATAAAGTATAGAAATTAGAAGGGGGGGCTGAAAGAGAAACCATGGATATCTCATTTATTCTGAATCAAACAAAGGTTTTATGGGCTTTGTTGTTACAATCCATGCAATGCCTAATATGTGGATGTAATATAAAAAAAAAAAATAAGTTATTTATTAAAAACTTGCTAACTTAAAGAAATGTTATAAAAACCAGATAAAATCACCAGTAAGAAGAAGTTAATCGCCGACCACTGTAACTGAAAACAACTGGAAACAATTGGAAACAACTGGAAACAACTGGAAACAACTGGAAACAACTGGAAATAACTGGAAACAACTGGAAATAACTGGAAACAGCTGGAAACAACTGGACACAACTGGAAACAACTGGAAACAACTGGAAACAACTGGACACAACTGGAAACAACTGAAAAGAACTGGAAACAACTGGAAACAACTGGAAAAACTGAAAAGAACTGAAAAGAACTGGAAACAACTGGAAACAACTGGAAACAACTGGAAATAACTGGAAACAACTGGAAATAACTGGAAACAAGTGGAAACAACTGGACACAACTGGAAACAACTCGAAACAACTGGAAACAACTGGACACAACTGAAAACAGCTGAAACAACTTGAAACAACTGGAAACAACTGGAAAAAACTGAAAAGAACTGAAAAGAACTGGAAACAACTGGAAACAACTGGAAATAACTGGAAACAACTGGAAATAACTGGAAACAACTGGAAACAACTGGACACAACTGGAAACAACTGGAAACAACTGGAAACAACTGGACACAACTGAAAACAGCTGGAACAACTGGAAACAACTGGAAACAACTGGAAACAACTGGAAAAAACTGAAAAGAACTGGAAACAACTGGAAACAATTGGAAACAACTGGAAACAACTGGAAACAACTAGAAACAACTGGAAAAAACTGAAAAGAACTGGAAACAACTGGAAACACGCTCTTTTTACGTTCTGTTCTACAAACCGCGCAGATACTATCGTTCTTACATCTGTTTTCAAATTACAATGATTAGCGGAGAGAATCAGTCGAGCTACGATGCTCAGTTCGTTAACACAATGGATAGTTAGTCTAATTATCATCAAAGGTCTCCACACAAAATGTCCTTACGGGTAATTTTGATCTCCCACTCCTCCCCCCCCTAGGATTTTAATTTTTTAAATTTTTTTCAAATGAGTAAATTAAAGATTAAATAATAAAAAGTTATGGCATTTTTTTATTCTTCCTCTTCCGTCTATGTATAAAAAAATGTTAGACAAAATATGTGCTCAATTTTGATGTTGATAAAGTGTGAGCCGTTCTTGAGAAAATCTCAGGGACCGGGGGGGGGGGGGGGGGTAGGGGAAATCGTGATAGGGTTTTTTAGGGTCTGTAGTAATTTCAAATTACCCCTACCCTTTAAAGCATGCTTCACATTTTTTAACTTACTATTTAACCCTACCGTTTTTTTTTGCGATGACTCTAATAGTATTTGAGCTAGGAAGCTCAAATTTTCTGCCTTTTCTAACTATACTATGTACCTCACTTAACCCTCAAAAGGCTGGGGGAGGGGGCGTTTGACTCCACCACTATATTTTGTTTGCCCAAGCACGCTCATTTTTGACTCTATTACCGTGAACTTTTTTGACTTTCAATGAATAGAAATTTAAAGAATTTTTTGTAAAGAAGGTAAATAAAAACGACGGATCTAAAATTATATTTTCTAACAGCCTTTGAAAAATGAAAGTAGAAATTATGTGTCACATCTTGATATCTGTTAAAAACAGAAAAGTAATTCTTTGCATTTTTTACATTTTTTGGCATTTTTTCCGACCCTCCTAGCACCCAAACTATTAAAGATATTGATCTAATTTTCTTGAATGATTTGGCCTGAATTTGAAAAATTAGGCTATGAACATGCATTTCAACCCATTACCTATACTCTAAGGCCTTTTTCTAGGGGGGGGGGCGTAGGATGCATGGGATGCTTGGGTTGCTCCCCCCCCCCCCAGGCTATACATAGATTCAGACCAACCAGCCTTTATAAGGTTAAGGTTAAAAGCTGAACTTTCATATCTACTGCACGAGTCTGCACTCCTCAGGCATACTGCATAAGCCTGTACAACATTGTATAGGGTTATGGAAATCCGTTGACAAAAGAAAGCAGATTGCACAACTTTTGCAAAGAAATTTCGCACAGATTTTTGCACAGGCGCTAACAAAGAGAATTTGCATATTTTAAAATTTTTTTGAATTCAGATTCTAGGATTCTGAAAAGTTTGCACTTCACTGGAAAGGGCAAACAAAATTTCTTCGTCGCATTTTGCAATTTGGATTTGTGAAAATTTGCGATTTTCTGCAGATTATCGACGTACGTAGAGTCCATGCTTTTCAAAAACGTATCAAATGTTTTATATTTGTATCACAATAAGAAAATAGAAGGAGGGAAATATTCCCCCCCCCCCCCCCCCCCCCAGTGAATTTTTGGTTAACCAGACGTCAGTCTATCGGAATAGGTTTTAAATTGACAGAGATACCAGATTCTATTCTTTCGCATGTAATCTTTTTCAATGCATTTTTTATTTACTAATTCTTGTAAACTAAAAACGTTTTTTTTAAGTTTTCATATGATTCCCATGTTTTTTGACACAGTATTGTTTTAACATCCATATTTAAGGGCTTCATATTTTTTTAAATTTTAGATCTGTAATTTAATCAAACAAAAAACTAAAAGCTTTTTTTCCTTTTATTCTTGAAACTATTACCAGACTTTTTAGGCTCCTGTTTCCACTAACCCTTTGCATAAAAAATACTTGAAAATTATATTTCCAGACCATTTGATTAAAACAGCAATAAACACATAGAGAATAGACTATATAGAGAGGAATTAAAAGAATCTCTCGGTATGAATTTTTCAGTCCCTTTAAGCCTGAAAGGGAGTTCAAAGTGTACAAATCATGTAAATGTTTACAAATTATATGCAGTAGAGTACATTAATACAGTATGTTCCCTAGACTATTCATTTCAATTTCGAATTTTTTAAACTGTTAAATAAACTTTATAATGAATTAGGTGAATAAAAACATCATTTGATTTATAGTTATGACGGAAAATCTTCGTTTTTAAAGTGAAAGGCAAAGAGTATATATGAAATGATAATTGGTCAAATAATTTTAGATTTTCTATAAAATGATATTCCAGGGCCCAACAGGTTATACAGCATAAATATGAAGTACACCTGCAGTATGGAAACAGTACATCAAAATGGCCGTTTTACACTTTTTTCCAGTAAATTCCTCTCTATATATTCTATTCTCTATGAATAAACATCATCAACGTGGATTCTAAGTTTCAATTGAATACTTTCATTTCAGCGCTACGTCGCAGACGCCTTTTTCAGCTGCAATGGAACTCCGAAACAAGAAATTATTTGGAAAAATTCACCGAATACATTCGCATATCAAAGACTTCAGTGATGAGGCAACACAGGATAGATCTGATCAAAATCACGTATGGAATGTGGGTAAAGTTGAATTGATGGTGCGAGCCACCTGTGAGGGACTAGTTCCTATTTGCAATGATACAGAGTACAGAGCCTTTAATGGAGTTTGTAACAACCTGGAAAACCCTACCTGGGCCGCAGCAAACACAGGGTTTAAACGCCTGCTGCCTCCAGAGTATGAGGATGGGATAGGGAAGCCTAAGGGTGGATTCACTTTAGCTGCACGAACTGGTTTATCATTGCCAACTCCTCGGTTTGTATCTCAACAGTGTACAGGTAGAGATGGGCACATTCAACTTTTTTCATTCATTCCTTCATCGTTCGTTTTTTAAAATCGTTTGGAAAAAATTTATTTCGTTTGTTCTCAAAATTTTCCTTTCTTTTCCATCTAATTCTTTCGTTTTCTCACTGAAATCTCATTCTGTGAAATTGTTTGTTCATTAAAATCATTCGTTCAGTTAAAAAAAGATTGTTTTTAAAAGATTTTTTTTTCCAAAAAAATTGTTCAATCAGCAAAAAAGCAATCGTTTATTCAAGTCCGTTCGAGAGATTTTAAATTGTTCGTTTTTCGTCGTTTTTCAAAAACGAAATTTTTTTCATTTCTCTGAACGATCCATAAAGTTTGTCCATAGTTCTTTTTTTTTCTGAATGACACATTTTTTCAAAACAAATTTTAATCGTTCCTGAAAATTTTGTTCGTTCAAAAAAACGATGCCCATTTCTATGTACAGGACACAGCTTTAATCAAACACAGTTTCCCTACACAGACCTTTTCACTGCTTTTGGACAATTTTTGTCTCATGACTTAAGGAAATGTTTTAATAAAAAATACATTACATTTCTTTATTGCTTTGTGAGTAGATGGACAGCAAATAAATGTATAATTGTATTTTTATATTGTTCGGATTGTGGTTACTTCCACTGTAATGATTTTCCCTAGAATCATTTAATCTATCTCTGCTGGGGTACTTGAAAACCAGGATATGCTGGGGGGGGGGGTAGGTTCAAAGTTTCAAAAAGTAATTTTAGGAAAAGTAAATTATATTTTTTATCTATTAATTAAAAAAAACATTTTATCAGTTTATCTCCAGAAGCTACGGACCAGGGCTGCTGTTTAAATCCTACTGGACATGAATGTTTTCCAATACCAGTTCCGTCAGGCGATTCTTTTTTCTCACAACAGAATCAGACCTGTCTTGATTTCAGGAGAACGGTTCCTTTTTGCATTAAACAGGGGGAAATCAGGAAAAAAAAAATGTTTTTATCATTTTTTACTTATTAGGAAATTTTTCCCAATGTTAGATTTTATTGCATAAGGTAGAGCATAAATTTACACATATTTTTGTACCACTTTCTCAAAATAAATTTGCCATACAATTTTAGTTGTTTAACTAAGCAATTAAGTCTTTGCAACCCAATGTTATTTACACGATCTGTATGCAAATTTTAATTTGTGGCAAAGAATCAATTTCTTTACGAAGAAAAATTCAACCTATTTTTTTGGTTTTTGTATTAAAATTATTTTTTCCCAGAGAGCAGTTGAATTCGTTGACATCAGTGATAGATGCTAACAACGTGTACGGATCTGATGTTGAAACCAACGCTAAACTAAGGACGAAGGTAGATGGTCTAATGCTGATTAATTCTAATTATACAGATGAACTGCTTCCTGTGATAAATGGCTCCCTAACTGCTGGCGAAATAAGATTTAAAGAATCTCCAATGCTAGCATCGCTTCACACTCTTTTTCTCAGGTAAACATAGCTTAGAAAACTGATTATTTTCAAATTTAAATTTTCTACAAAAGTGACTGGCGTATTTCTACTACAAGAAAACATACAATAAATGTTCAAAGTAGAACAATCTTACAGCTTTGTAATACCTAGGAATACCGAGAAATAGGCTATTTATGTAATACCTAGGCATACCGAGGAATAGGCTATCCATGTAATACCTAGAAATATTGAGGAATATGCTATCCATGTAACACCCAGGAATACCGAGGAATAGGCTATCTATGTAATACCTAGGAATATCGAGGAATAGGCTATCCATGTAATACCTAGGAATATCGAGGAATAGGCTATCCATATAATACATAGGAATACCGAGGAATAGACTATTCATGTAATACCTAGGAATACCGAGGAATAGGCTATCCATGTAATACATAGGAATACAGAGGAATAGACTATCCATGTACTACCTAGGAATACCGAGGAATAGGCTATCCATGTAATACCTAGGAATACCAAGAAATAGGCTATCCAAGTAATACCAAGAAATACAGAGGAATAGGCTATCCATGTAATACCTAGGAATACCGAGAAATAGACTATCCATGTAATACCTAGGAATACCGAGAAATAGGCTATCATTGTAATACATAGGAATACAGAGGAATAGGCTATCCATGTACTACCTAGGATTACCGAGGAATAGGCTATCCATGTAATACCTAGGAATACCAAGAAATAGGCTATCCATGTAATACCAAGAAATACAGAGAAATAGGCTATCCATGTACTACCTAGGATTACCGAGGAATAGGCTATCCATGTAATACCTAGGAAAACCAAGAAATAGGCTATCCATGTAATACCAAGAAAAACAGAGGAATAAGCTATCCATGTAATACCTAGAAATATTGAGGAAAAGGCTATCCATGGAACACCTGGGAATACCGAGGAATAGGCTATCTATGTAATACCCAGGAATATCGAGGAATAGGCTATCCATGTAATACCTAGGAATAACGAGGAATAGGCTATCCATTTAATACATAGGAATACCGAGGAATAGACTATCCATGTAATACCTAGGAATACAGAGGAATAGGCTATCCATGTAATACCTAGGAATACGGATGAATAGGCTATCCATGTATTCTGCTTTTATTCATGTTTTTAAACAATCCTTAAACATTTTCCTTAATCAAGTCTTATTGTTTGGTCAAAAAGGCACAGAAATATCTTGATCATTTTAAATTTAGACTATATTCTTTTATCTAACAGATTCCACGATTAAAGGATATTGAATCTTTGCCACAAACTTAAATTTCCTATATCTTTGCAAATAAAATGTCGTAGAACTTTTCAAAATATGAATTCTTTCAAATCAAATAATATAATGTTAAAATATCAAAGGTATACACCATAAGGTTGCAGAAATATAGTGATTATAACATTTGAGTTTGTTACAAAGACTCAATTCCTTTATAATGTTATAATATTTATTATTTAGAGAACATAATCGTTTAGCAAGAGAGGTTGCAAAGTACTCCAGCTCCAGTGATGATGAGTTTATTTTCCAAACTGCCAGAAATATACTAATTGCAGAAATGCAGAGTATTGTCTACAACGAGTATCTACCGATTCTCCTTGGACCGAGTCTAATGAAATCTATGGATATTTGGATTAAAAAAAAACCAAAAAGTTTTTATAATGCCTCCGTGGATCCAAGTATTTCAAACAGCTTTGCAACTGCATCGTTTAGGTATCAGTTATAATCTATACAGTAGGTGTTCCAGCAAAAATCGCTTTGCGAAAATTTCGAATTTTTCATGAAACAGATTAATGCGAAATTTCGCCAAAAAGGCGGAAATTTTTGCAATTTTTCGCGAAATTGTGGCATATTTTTTTTCGCGAATTTTTCTTGCAAATTTGATTTATGCGAAAGAATGCGAAATATCGAGTGAAGTTTGCGAAATACGAAAGAAAATTTTCGAAAATTTTGCGAAAGTTTTCGATCTCTGAAAAACGACTTTGATGCACCGCAATTGTTCAGTTTACTTTTGTAAACAGGCCAATTTTACTTAATAAGTGATTTTAAAAGATTTAGACTAAACTATTTTCTCTGTTACAGCATCAAATGCACTGAATTCTTGCTAAAATTTAGTCTTCATATTTGTTTTCCGGTTCATCACCGTTTAAATTAAAAAATTTAAGACGTTTTTTTTAAGCACATGAGATTAAACATTCGCCAAGTCACACAATTTAAGACTTTTAAATGCATAATTAGGCTCTGAAAACCATCAGACATGGACAATATGTATCCTTGATTATTCTTTTAGATTTGGACACAGTATGTTGCTGGATAATATAACTCTACGAGATGTTACATTTGATAATATTACCCAGTTCCCCCTTCACAAGGAGTTGTTCAACCCACAACTATACTTTGCAAACAATGGTCAAGGTGTTGATGAAATTATCTATGGTGAGAAATGAATTTAGTTAGCTCAAGTGCACCATGGGCGGTGTCATCCGTTGAATTTTGTAAACACTCGAATTTTGAAAAAAAATGCGATTAAATTAAAATTTGAAAAAAATCACATTTATTTTAGCTTTTGTTACCCCCAAGGGTGACCATGGATTTCTTCAAAAAGTTGTAGCCAATTTGGTCCAGCCGTTTGGTCAGCTATATCTAGCAGTGCACATATTGTGCAATGGCCTTTATTATATAGATTATTTGCCCCCATGCGCGAAAAATGTCATGTTTCAGGAAAGATTTTATAAAAAAAGTAAAGTTTTGAAATTCAACTGTTATTTTGTGTTACATAAATATCAACTTTCTAGAGAATTTGCGGTGTTTTAACAAAAAAAAAATAAGTATATTTGATCATTGATATTTGATAAAACAAATAAATTTATTGAGACTCCAAATGTTCTATAGGTTTGATGAAAGGAGCCTCTAAGCTCAGCGGAACAGATTTCTCTCACGAATTGACCGACTTGTTGTTGTTAAACGGAACCCAGTTCGGTAGTAACGATCTTCTTTCAAGGAATATACAGAGAGGACGAGATCATGGATTACCAGGTAAACATTTTAAGAGAAATGGACAAATTGTTCACAAAACTTTCGCATTTTTATGGAACATGTCTTATTTCAACAAGCAATTTCCTATTTTTTGTTGCATTTTGTCGCATATTTTTTGCAAAGTACTTCACATATTTGTTCTATATAACCTTTTGGGCCCTGGAATATCATTTTATAGAAAATCTAAAATTATTGTTAAAAGAAAACCAAATATGAAATAAGCTGGTTTCATAATTGACCAATGATCATTTCACATAGACTCTATGCCTTCCACTTTACAAACGATGATTTTCCGTCATAACAATAAATCAAATGATTTTTTTATTCACCTAATTCATTATAAAGTTTATTTAACAGCTTTAAAAAATTCGAAATTGAAATGGATAGTCTAGGGAACATACTGAATTAGTGTACTCTACTGCATTTACATGGTTTGTACACTTTCAGCCCCCTTATTAGGCTGAAAGGGACTGACAAAATTCATACTGCTGGATTGTCTAAATTCCACTCTAATAAATATTCTATTCTCTTTGATTAACTGGGTTAATCTGGGTTCACTTAAAGTTTTGCTTTGCATTTTTAGTTCTCACTGTTCTGCAGTAAACTTTTAAAATAATTAAAATATAATATTTTGTTCCAAAAAATAATTTAAGTTGTTGAGGATACAACAGTTTCCGAGAATTATGTGGACTCCAAAGAATAGAATCAATGATGTCTGCTGAGCCCCCGACCTATATTTCAAATAAAAAATGGTCTCTTCTTAAACAAATTTATTCAACACCTGATGATATAGATCTTTATGTTGGAGGTAATATGGATATATAATAATGCTCTTCGCTCATATCTATATATTTGTAATTTTTTGAGGAAAATTATGAGTACCCTGGGGCATGGGGGTAATTTTGAAAAAAAAAAATTTATTATTTCTTTCAAAAATCTTTTTTTTTTCAAAATTCGAGATTTTTTTCGATTTTCGGGCAACGCCGGGCAATTAAGCTAGTTTTTCATTTTGTTTAAAGGGACTTCAAGATTGGATCAACTTTAAAGTATAAAAACGCTTTGATCCTTGGTATATATATATATATATATATATATATATATATATATAACTCCACTATAATATTGTGAGGCACTTGTTTTAGCTTTAGTTATTATATCCATTAAATTGCAAAATTATCATCGATGTTTTGCATGAGAGCTTGCAACCTTTGGATCACTGCATGAGACTTATAGTGTAGTAGTAATATTAAGTGCCTACAATCCATATATAGAACCAATTTAGACAATTCACAACGGTACCCTTAACATCATTAAATACCAAACAATTAATCTTCGGATCTTTTTAAATGTTTCTTGTTATATCTTTACAATATTTTAGTGACATTTCCAACACCCAATATTTAATCTTTGATCGTGGTATTTAAGAAGTTTTAATTAGTTTTTAATGTCATTACGCGGGTAACCTTGCATCTTGCATTTTTATCTTAGAAATTATATAAACCTTTAAAATTTACTATCTGAGTTGTGTCTGTTTGTGTGGGGGGGGGGACACAAAGTAGAATTTAATTTATTGTGACAACCTGGACACTGTAGAATTAAAATTATCGGGGCACCCTGTAGAAATTAAATTATTGGGACATCCTGTAGATNTTTTTTTACGGTCTAAGTCGTATGTTCCAACTTCCTCAATTTTTATGGGCGCTACGCTCTTCGGTATGAGACGTCTTTATCAATTTTCTCATTATAGACGCAACAGATAGAAGTAAGATTAGTGGCGATCAAAAGCGCTTTTTTATCCCATTAAGCCTATACCCCCTTTCATTTTTCGCGAACACTCCCTTTAAGGTCAAATTAAAAGGATTTATGCTAAAATGAACGAGTTACATTTTATATCGATGCAGTGTGCATATAAGCTTACTTTAAAGGTAAATATAACTTTAAAACAAGGGGGGGGGGGGCAAATTTATACACCCCCCTCCTAGGCCTTTGTATAATGTATGTATATTTATTGTGCTTATACGATTTGCATTTGAACTCTAATTCTTTCTTTATTTTAGGAGACAGATTTTTTTTCACACATGCTGGCAGATTTAAAAGATTTCACTTCAAATTAAGAAAACTTTTATTTAAAAGACGACTGCGTGATATTGTCTGTGAAAACACTAAGATTCCACAGGCGCAAAAGAGCCTGTTTAAAACAAGAGGGTCCAAAATATCATGCTCGGAAACCAACCCTCTTGATATATCATTATTTATTTAACATTTTTTTTAAATAAATTTATTTAAAATTAGAATTGCCTCTCAATGTACAATTGTACAATCTGCATTTAATTAAGAATGTTCATATATATATTCATAAAATATACCTCTCTATCTATGTACATATATAAAAAATAAACCTCTCTATCTTTATACATTTACATAAAATATACCTCTATATCTATGTACACAAATATAAAATATACCTCTCTATCTATGTACATATATATGAAATATACCTCTCATCTTTATAGATTTATATAAAATATACCTCTATATCTATGTACATAAATATAAAACATACCTCTCTATCTATGAACTTATATTTGAAATATTTCTTTCTATCTATGAACATATATTTAAAATATACCTCTCTATCTATGAACATATATTTAAAATATACCTCTCTATCTATGAACATATATTTAAAATATACCTCTCTATCTATGAACATGTATTTAAAATTTACCTCTCTATCTATGAACATATNAATTACTAAGCGCTACTATATCTCCGGTCAGTGTACTGCAAATTACTAAGCGCTACTATATCTCCGGTCAGTGTACTGCAAATTACTAAGCGCTACTATATCTCCGGTCAGTGTACTGCAAATTACTAAGCGCTACTATATCTCCGGTCAGTGTACTGCAAATTACTAAGCGCTACTATATCTCCGGTCAGTGTACTGCAAATTACTAAGCGCTACTATATCTCCGGTCAGTGTACTGCAAATTACTAAGCGCTACTATATCTCCGGTCAGTGTACTGCAAATTACTAAGCGCTACTATATCTCCGGTCAGTGTACTGCAAATTACTAAGCGCTACTATATCTCCGGTCAGTGTACTGCAAATTACTAAGCGCTACTATATCTCCGGTCAGTGTACTGCAAATTACTAAGCGCTACTATATCTCCGGTCAGTGTACTGCAAATTACTAAGCGCTACTATATCTCCGGTCAGTGTACTGCAAATTACTAAGCGCTACTATATCTCCGGTCAGTGTACTGCAAATTACTAAGCGCTACTATATCTCCGGTCAGTGTACTGCAAATTACTAAGCGCTACTATATCTCCGGTCAGTGTACTGCAAATTACTAAGCGCTACTATATCTCCGGTCAGTGTACTGCAAATTACTAAGCGCTACTATATCTCCGGTCAGTGTACTGCAAATTACTAAGCGCTACTATATCTCCGGTCAGTGTACTGCAAATTACTAAGCGCTACTATATCTCCGGTCAGTGTACTGCAAATTACTAAGCGCTACTATATCTCCGGTCAGTGTACTGCAAATTACTAAGCGCTACTATATCTCCGGTCAGTGTACTGCAAATTACTAAGCGCTACTATATCTCCGGTCAGTGTACTGCAAATTACTAAGCGCTACTATATCTCCGGTCAGTGTACTGCAAATTACTAAGCGCTACTATATCTCCGGTCAGTGTACTGCAAATTACTAAGCGCTACTATATCTCCGGTCAGTGTACTACAAATTACTAAGCGCTACTATATCTCCGGTCAGTGTACTGCAAATTACTAAGCGCTACTATATCTCCGGTCAGTGTACTGCAAATTACTGCAGAACGCACTGAAAGCTTAGCTGAGGGCTTTCTGTTGTGAATGCTTTTAGTCCCTTTACAGATAAAGAATAGAGAATTAAATATATAAAGCTAGATATTATATTTATATTAAAAGATTTAAAGATGGCCGATAGCACTCTTCATATTTTGATTGAACAAGTTAGAAAAGCAAACTTTCAATGCAGGCCAAATTACATGTTATAGTAATACAAATGCCTTTTATAATTGTAACCATTTCCTAGCAGTAAAAGTTTATTTAAGTATTGTTAAAAACATCTGCTTATTAAAATTCTTCTTTAAACCTTTTTTTGTACATTTTTGGTGAATTTTGAAAACAGTGTAATCGTTTCTAATAGACATGTTCACTGGGATATAGATAACTCTAAAAGTTAGTCATCAAATTTTAGACAGCCTTGACATTAAAGTGTCTCAACAACCTAGCCTTTGGTTTTACCTCACCAACTCACTTCCAATTTTTTTTGTAGCCCTAGGTATATACATCTCTAGCTTAAGTTAAAAATAGTAATTGGCAAAATACTGCTAAATTTTTGTGTGAGAGCGTGCACATCTAGTGCAAATAAAATACAATTATGAAAAGTCCTTAATCATAGAGGACGCTTAATCACCTTCAAGAATGATATGACCGAAATTTTTAAATGTACGTATATATAGATGTCATAGGAATGCAATTTTAAAACAATTTTATTTTAATTCGATGTTGTTATAAAGCCAAGTTAGCAAAGTATAGTGCAGACGACTTTAATTATTTTGTGAACTGGGTCTTTTGTGGGTAACATTGCATTTCCCCGTCCCTACCTTATCATCTCCAAGCTCCTTGATCATGTATTTATCTACGGGTTGAAAAACCAGGGTTGCAGCATAGCAGTGCATCATAATTCCACCTAAATAACATATATATTTACAGAGGCTGTTTGAGGTATAAGCAATAAGTATACAATGTTTCTATTAGCTTGTGTTAAACAAGAGTAAACATCTTTTTAAGCATATTTTTTTTAAATTTAAATTTTAACAAAATTCAAATGATTAGATGATATCAGCTGCAAGTGTTTTGAAATTTCTGTTTTTCTAAATCTCCATTTTCTTAATAGCTGCTGAATTTATACGAGTTCTAAATTTACTCCTCAGAGTAAACATGTAATACCTCCTATAAGTGACAATGACTGCAATGCCCAATGAAAGCTTTATCTAATCAATAATGTGAAAATATTGTTGTTTTTCTAGCTTTAAAATGTTTACTAATAATATTTTGTATTGCAGTAGAAATGCGCAAGTAGAGAAACAAAAATTTAAAAATTCATTTTTCAAAATTATTAACATTCTGATTCATAGTTTATCATACAAAGCTTATAAAGATACAATAGTAAATTGATCATAGCCATCTTTGAATGGAGTATCAAATGAAAATACGTTTTAAAGAAAATTTACACAATTTTGCAGAAAATGATTAATTTTAAATTGTTTAAGAGATTTTTAGATTTAGGATTGATCATAGGTTTTTTTTCAAGCTTTTTTAAAATTATATTTATACAATGTAAAAGTTTTAAGTGAAATTTTACTGGAGAAATGAAATCCCTAAATTGTATTTTTTACTAAAACTATAGAAACAAATGTTACCAAGAATAAGATGAGCCCCCGAATATCCAAAGGTTTGATACAAGTATGTGAACAGGAAAGGTAAAACCATTCCTCCCAAACAGTTTCCAGCCAGGCAGATTGCATTCCCAAACCCTTTGTATTTATCAAAGTAGGTTCCACTGCACAGAAAACCTGGATTAATGTGTTATCATTTTTACAAGTTTACTTCATATAGAATTGAATTCTATACTGATGGAAATTAATTTTACTTAATATCTGTTATGCATATAATGTTAGTGAATGACAGTGATTCAGTTTTGTTAATAAATCCATCAATTATATCATCCTTGTAATAAATATCGGGTAACATGATATTCTGTAAACCTGCAATACGCTGTTTCAAATGAATATGTAGCATGATTAGCTTAATCATGCCTTATATATAATGACGTACTTCTCAATTTCGACGATTTCAACTGTGCTGCAATACGTAACGTATGATTGCCTTGATCATGTGATATAGGATGTAACGTAGGAATTGTAATTACGTCTATTAACTTTAACTTGTAGCATATAAGCCTGAAATACACTAGTTGATAAATAGACTCCGTACAGATTACTGCAAGAGAGTAATCATTCCCTGTCTTGATAAACAGGTTGGGGATCATACCCATTGTTTTGGCATTGATAGTTGTGCGCTTGTATCCATGAAGGATCTTAATAGCTGATCACGCCCATTGGTAGTGGCATTGATATTACTAGATCGTGTCCTAGTTGAGGCGTTGATAAGCGTGCGCTTGTATCCAAGGAGGACAATGATAGCTGATCACGTCCATTGGTAGTGGCGTTGATATTACTAGATCGTGTCCTAGTTGAGGCGTTGATAAGCGTGCGCTTGTATCCATGGAGAATAATGATAGCTGATCACGCCCATTGGTAGTGGCGTTGATATTACTAGATCGTGTCCTAGTTGAGTCATTGAAGATCATGACCTAGATAAGACATTGATAGTTTACGAAATCACGCCGAGTGATATTGGCGTTGATAGTTCACGGGATAGTAGCCAGGTGGATCGTGCCTTGGTTGAGACATTGATAGTCACGAGAATCTGAGCTTTGTACCTAGGATAGATATGTGTTAGAGAAACTTTTATGTAGTAGGGTATTTACTACATGCATACATATTGTTAACATTAATATGTAACAATTAACATCAAATAAGTTTATAAATCATATCATATATACCTGTATTATGTAAATTTTTACATATCAATTAAAATTATCATTTAAATGTTAATGTTATTAAATGAATTAAATCATCAATGACCTCATATAGAGCCTTGAATGGAAATAAGACAAAGTGATTAAAAGTGCCTTATAACCTACAGTCTGGGAAAAAAAACCATATTTCATAAATTTCCTTCAAATACTGAGAGCATCGCGATAAATA